GTGATGCAATCACAGCTCACTACAGCCTCGACTTCCTGGGCTCAGGTGATTCTCCCACCTCAGCCTCCCAAGTACCACCACACCCAGCTGATTTTTTTGTACTTTTTTGTAGAGACGGGGTTTTGCCATGTTATCCAGACTGGTCTCCATCTCCTGAGCTCAAGGGATCTGCTCACTTCGGTTGCTCTACAGTGCTGGGATTATAAGAGTGAGCCATGAAACCTGGCTTTATTATTCAATCTTGATTCTAGTGATTTGCATTGCTCCTTGAATGTGAAGTACATAACTTCATCTACTGGCTCCCTGCAGGAGGCATCCTACCTGATTGACATTGGTCTTGACCATGGGACTTGCTGGGGCCAGGGGACTGTGTGGCTGAGACATAGGTGAGTCTGAACAGAAGCTCTTAAGAGCCAGTGCACAAGGTGGTTACTGCACTCTTTTCCCTCTGCCACAAGAAGCACAAGACCAAGTAGGGGCTGCTTCTACAGCCTGAATTCTGGAATAAAGCTGCAGAGCCACGATTGGCTGGTGGCTGCTGTCACTGACAGACAACATAAGCAAAATAAACTTTCATGGTTGAAAACCACTGAAGTTATTCTCCAAAGTTTTAACGTTGAAACTTTTCAGAATAAAGTTGAAGGAGTAGTTCAACTAACACCCTCACTTAGATTCTCTAATTGTTAACATTTTTTTTTGTTGTTGTTGAGACAGAGTCTCGCTCTGCCGCCCAGGCTGGAGTGCAGTGGCCGGATCTCAGCTCACTGCAAGCTCCGCCTCCCGGGTTCACGCCATTCTCCTGCCTCAGCCTCCCGAGTAGCTGGGACTATAGGCGCCCGCCACCTCGCCCGGCTAGTTTTTTGTATTTTTAAAGTAGAGACGGGGTTTCACCATGTCAGCCAGGATGGTCTCGATCTCCTGACCTCGTGATCCGCCCGTCTCGGCCTCCCAAAGTGCTGGGATTACAGGCTTGAGCCACGCGCCCGGCCCCCTAATTGTTAACATTTTGCCACATTTGCTAAATTTGTCTTGTTCCCTCCCTCAGTATGGAGCTCCCTATTTTTGCTGAAACATTTGAGAGTTAGTTATAGGCATAGTGATATTTGGTTCCTAGATATTTTAATATATATATCGTAAGAACGAGGATTATTTCCTATATGACCATGACACTATGATCATATCCAAGAAATATAACATTGATATATTATTTAGTATATAGTTTATGTTCAAGTTTCTCTGTCACAGTAACATTCTTCGTAAACTTTTTTCCTGATCCAAAATCCAAGCGAGGACCATGCACTGATAATAAATGTAGATCTATTTAGTCTCCTTTAATTTACAACAGTTTCTTTTTTTTTTTCCCTCCGAATCTATTTATTTATTTATTTTAACTTATTTATTATTATTATACTTTAAGTTCTAGGGTACATGTGCATAACGTGCAGGTTTGTTACATATGTATACTTGTGCCATGTTGGTGTGCTGCACCCATCAACTCGTCAGCACCCATCAACTCGTCATTTACATCAGGTATAACTCCCAATGCAATTCCTTCCCGCTCCCCGCTCCCCAGGATAGGCCCCCGTGTGTGATGTTCCCCTTCCTGAGTCCAAGTGATCTCATTGTTCAGTTCCCACCTATGAGTGAGAACATGCGGTGTTTGGTTTTCTGTTCTTGTGATAGTTTGCTAAGAATGATGGTTTCCAGCTGCATCCATGTCCCTACAAAGGACACAAACTCATCCTTTTTTATGGCTGCATAGTATTCCATGGTGTATATGTGCCACATTTTCTTAATCCAGTCTGTCACTGATGGACATTTGGGTTGATTCCAAGTCTTTGCTATTGTGAATAGTGCCGCAATAAACATATGTGTGCATGTGTGTTTATAGCAGCATAATTTATAATCCTTTGGGTATATACCCAGTAATGGGATGGCTGGGTCATATGGTACATCTAGTTCTAGATCCTTGAGGAATCGCCATACTGTTTTCCATAATGGTTGAACTAGTTTACAATCCCACCAACAGTGTAAAAGTGTTCCTATTTCTCCACATCCTCTCCAGCACCTGTTGTTTCCTGACTTTTTAATGATCACCATTCTAACTGGTGTGAGATGGTATCTCATTGTGGTTTTGATTTGCATTTCTCTGATGGCCAGTGATGATGAGCATTTTTTCATGTGTCTGTTGGCTGTATGAATGTCTTCTTTTGAGAAATGTCTGTTCATATCCTTTGCCCACTTTTTGATGGGGTTGTTTGTTTTTTTCTTGTAAATTTGTTTGAGTTCTTTGTAGGTTCTGGATATTAGCCCTTTGTCAGATGAGTAGATTGCAAAAATTTTCTCCCATTCTGTAGGTTGCCTGTTCACTCTGATGGTAGTTTCTTTTGCTGTGCAGAAGCTCTTTAGTTTAATTAGATCCCATTTGTCAATTTTGGCTTTTGCTGCCGTTGCTTTTGGTGTTTTAGACATGAAGTCTTTGCCCATGCCTATGTCCTGAATGGTACTACCTAGGTTTTCCCACTTCCATTCACAATTGCTTCAAAGAGAATAAAATACCTAGGAATCCAACTTACAAGGGATACAACAGTTTCTTGACTTTTTTGGGTTCATCTTTCATACATTACATTTTTGAAGAGTTTAGGTCAGTTGTTTTGTAGACTATATCACTTTTTGGATATACCTGATTTCCTCATAATTCTTTAGATTCAGGTTAAATATTTATGTGAGGAATACTACATAGATTATATTGTTTATATCACAACCAAGAAGCACAAATAAAGTCAGATTGTCTCATTTTGGGTGACGATACGTTTGACCACTTGACGATGATATCCACCAGATTTCTCCTTTGAAAAGTTTCATTTATCCATTTGTATTTTGTCAGTAATTTGTGAGGTGATACTTAGAGACTATGTGAATATATTGATCCTCAACAAACTTTCTCTATTGGTTTTAGCATCTATTGATGATCCCTTCCTGTACCAATGGTTACATTGGTAGATGCAGAATGGTGCTTTTCCCTATTCTATTATTCATACGACTTTTATTATCTGGCATTGTTTTGGTACAGAAAACTCCCTTCATTCTTTCCACACTTATTTATTCTTGAGTATCATTACGGATTCATTAATTTTTAGTGTACACGTCATAAAATTTCAGCATTATTCTTTGTGTTATGCAAACTCTCCCAAATTTGGACAACGGGAGCCCCTTTGAGTTTGGTACCCCGTCCTTTTTAACATGTTTCTGTTTGTCTGTATTTTATAGTTAGTTATAGGCTTTCTGGCACAGTAACAATCCAGGCTTATCTTAGATATTTACTGTCACAGACTTGATTCTTTTTATTTGGCAGAGACACTGACAGAGTGAGACTAAGATTTGGGGAGCTGGTTGATAAAGAAGGCAAGAGAGGGGATTCAGAGTAAGAAAATATTTGGGGGCAATTCTTGGCCTAAGATTTACCTTGGGCATGTCTCTCGAACTCTTAAAACCTGAACTTTTTTTCCTGGAAAATGAAGATTTTTATGCCAATTGCTTGGGTAGGTTGTGAAAATTAATAAACCCAGCCCTCTGATTGGTACATAGTATTTTTTGGCCATTATCACTAGTGACAACCTTTCAACTAGGTTAATTTCTCATACTGGTGAACTCCAATTACCTGCCTCCAATGGGTTTATGATCAAACTTGCTTAAGTTTATGTTCAGAGGCTTTGCTTCAACGTGGCTCTAAGATGTTCTAAGGGCACTAGAGTGTTTCTAGGTAAGGTTAAATGGGTACAGGCTCTAAAAGGCCGACGAAACAGAGAGCTTTCATGGGAATCGTATGCAAATTTGAGGAAGTAAAAGATACACCCACTCCCCAACCCTATATGTATATATGTACATTTCGTGGTTTGAATTAGGATCTTAAATGAAATATAGCCTGGTAAAATGTAGCCTGGATGTAAATCCAAGCTCCGTCACTTAATTTCCCGTTTGAAAAAGTGAAGATACTTATACTTTCCTGGCGCAGTGGTTGTGAGTGTAACATGTGGGCCAAGGACAGAGTCAGTCTATCGTGGCGCAGGGTCATATTTGTACCTTAGACGGCACTTCCACCTGGTGGCGGCGCATTCCAATTGCAAGGCAAAGGACAGAGTGGGGGAAAGGCTGAATTTGACACTCTTAAGTAAAGCCACAATATTAACCTACTGTAAGTGAAAACATTTCCATCCTGTACCTACGGAGTGCTTACTTCAAATAACACTCACGTCCTGGTAGGACAGAGGAATTAGACAATGCGCTGAGTTTTGCCTGCAAGGGCATTCATTCATTCATTTAAGAAACATCTGTTGAGCGCTGACTGTGAGCTGTGCTCTGTTCTGCGCGCTTGGGATACATCAGTGGACTAGAGACAAAAATTCTGCCCCGGGATGCCTTCTCCTATACATCCTGTACTACATAAACTAAACTAGAAAATTTGTAGAGCTCTTACGAATTACAACGACTTCTCCAAAGTCAAGGCGACATGTCTCGAGGCCTCTATTACCATGGCTAAGAGGAGAACGGGGTGCAGACCCACTCCAGCCGAACTAAGAACCTACCCGGCACAATTGAAAGTTGAGACACGCGCTAGAAGATGTCATCGCTGACAAAACAGAAGACGCCTTCCCCATTCCCCGCCCCCCCCGCCAAATACATATATTCTTTTAGGGAAGCAAGCGCTTCACCTGGGTGGCCGGAATCGAACCTGCAGAGGCCGGAAGGCGGAGGGCAACGACGCCTGTGGGACTCTGTTTCCCTGCAGAGCCTACGTGGTGGGTGGCAGGCAGGCCGACCGCTCTGGGGGCCCTGCACCTCTCGGTCGGTGACAGCACCCAGGTATCGAGCACAGGTAACGCGCCCGGCTCCGAATCTCGGGGTCTCAGCCCCGGAATCCCCAGCGAGGCCTAACGCCCCCTGGTGGCCGTGCGCAGTCTGAGTGCTGGGTCCGGAACAGAACTGTCCTGCGGAACTCCGAGTGCGCGCTCCGTTTCCGGGGGAGGAGGGCGAAGAAGGACTTGCGCGCGACGGTTCTCGTCGCTGCTATGGAGGCGCTGACCATGGGTGTCCGGGCGCTGCGGCTCTGGCGGGTCGCATCCGGTTTGGGGATCAGCTGGAGTGAGTTTCAGAGGCCATGGGGACAGGGAGGAGGCCTAGAAAGTGTTGTCTGTCTGGATTGGACCTGAGGCGGGGCCGGGGACGTCCAGCGGGGCAGAGGAAGGAGGAGGGTTTCTCAGTCCCGCCGCGGCGTTCGGCCTTGCACAGCCTGGGAGGACAAATGTATGGGAACCAGGGGCTGGAGAAGGACAGGGGCAAGTGCAGGGGTCAGGGTCAGGCCGCGGGAGGAGCTTGGGCCGCCTCTGGGAAGCAACGCACGTTCCGTGCACATCTGTCCATGTCTTCCCTGGGAGTACTCGGACTTGCCTTGGCAGGTCCCGTGATTTGGCTTTTGGGAAATAAACTCAGCGTTTCTCATTCTGGATATTGATAGTTTTGGTATGGGACCTTTAGTTTCCTGAAATTTTATTCTTTTCCTTCAGACCCTTTCAAACCGACCACTTTCTTCACCTTCCCAATGACTCTAGTCCAGTTTTGACTCCGTTTCCTGGTTACTTTTTGCCCCTTATTGTAAAGCACTGATTGGAAACACGACAGAGGAAATTGGTGGGAAATAGCCATCTGATGTGAAAGAGCCAGATTTAAAAGTAGAGACACATATCTGGGCCAGCTCTGTTTCTTCCGCTGGTGTTTGTTAATATTACAAATAGGTTTAATTTTACCTCTGAGCGCAGTTTTGGCAGTATGTTAATCATTTTTTTCAGTCTTCATATTTATTGTAACTTCTTCACAGGATTTATAGCAACATCTCCAGCTTCTCAGCTGTCGCCGACAGAATTGACAGAAATGCGGAATGACCTCTTTAATAAAGAGAAAGCCAGGCAGTTATCATTAACTCCCCGAACTGAGAAGATAGAAGTTAAGCATGTTGGGAAAACTGACCCCGGTACTGTCTTCGTGATGAATAAAAACATTTCAACTCCCTACAGTTGTGCCATGCGTAAGTAACAGAATCAGGTTACAGTTTTGACCCTTTTACTTGAGCTGTGTGGAAGAACTGGTGCAGGAGACAGGATGTTGTAATTACTTCTGATCATCTGCGGCCGTGGCAATCCCTTTATACCAAAATCCTTTCTTGAGATCTGCATGGTGACTGCTCCCACCACATCACAGCCGTAGCTAAAAGAAGCGAGCAAATCCCAGCTACTTGGGAGGCTGAAGCAGGAGGAGAGCTTGAGGGCAGAAGTTCAAGACCACCATAGCCACCCCGTCTCTCAAAAAACAAAAATGAATTAGCCAGATGTGGTGGGCGCAGAAGTCCCTGGATTTCCCAGAGGTTCTTTATCTGGCACCTTATTGTTTGTTCACTGTCCCTTTAGCTCTGGAGGGTACTATGAGTATTGCAAGATTGGCAGTATAGTGCACAGATTGTCCTACCTGGGGCTTGCTTGAATCTGGCTTTGTTTAGGGTACTAGATTATTTTCTGGCAGAAGGTGGCCAGACCAGAGTGTATTAAGGTGGCCAGACCTCAGTGCATTGTTACTAGTGTGCTTTCTCCTTTAATTTAATTTTAGAGATGGGGGTCTGGCTCTGTTGCCCAGGCTGGAGTGTAGTAGTACTCTCATAGCTTACTGAAACTCCTAGCCTCAGCCTACCAAGTAGCTGGGACTACAGGCACCCACCACCACACCTGGCTGATTTATTTTTATTTTTTGAGAGATAGGGTGGCTATGGTGCCCAGGCTGGTCTTGAACTTCTGGCCTCACGTTATCCTCCTGCTGCAGCCTCCCAAGTAGCTGGGATTTGCTTGCTCCTTTTAGCTGGGCTGTGATGTGGTGGGAGCAGTCACCATGTAGGTCTCAAGAAAGGATTTTGGTGTAAAGGGGTTGCCATGGCCACAGATGATCAGCTTTTTTTGCTGCCGAAATTTCTTTCTCCCCTCTTCATTGTATAGCCTAACTTACGTCTATCATCTGTCTTCCATTGAGCTCTCTCTGTGTTGTATTTTTGTTTGCATTTATATGTACATGTAAATGTGTGACTGGGAATGTGCATGGGGTGAATGTGATTGGGATAAAAGTATTTATATCTTAAAGGAGACAGCTGTGCCCCATGTGTGATTTGGTGTGGAAATGAAGGGAATAAGAACCTCTGTATTTTATTTTTGATCAAAATGTTTTGATAGTACCTTTGGTGGAACTGGTACTATTTAAATTAAAGAAGGAAAATAACAAGAAAAAAAACTAGGTCCCATTGTAGAATGGTATATTAAATTAAAGAAGCGCAAAAAGATACAGGCATGACTAGCTGCATTGCTTAAACTTTTGGAAAACTCAGTAATGATTCCATTTAGGTAATTAACAACTTTAGTTATCAGCTTAAACTGGCCTAAAGAGTGTACACTCCCTCTTAATCTTCCTTCACTCTGGCACTTGAATTAGTACTTATAAATATTTACTCATTTGGTTTTCAAGTATTTCTGGAACCTCTGCCATATGATAGGCATTAGGATTACAGAGGAGGATAAGACAAAACTCAGGCCCTTAAGGAGCTTTATACACATCACATGTAGTGATACAGTTTCTGAAGCATCCTCAGCATGACCCGTGCTCTGAGACTTTCTTGTCATTCATGCTTGCAGTCATTCAGTAAACTGTTATTGAATACCTGCTAGTACTAGTGAATACCAGGCCTGGTGCTAGGCTCTGGATATACTGATGAGTGAGCAAAAGTAGACATGATCCCTGTCTTTACAGAGCTTATGTAGGGGTCAATAATTTAGACCCTGTAGTTTGAGTACTTTTGTGAGTAGCTATGTAATTACAGAACATCTAATCACAGTTGGCATTGCATTCTGGGATGATGAAACAGACCAGAGCTGATTGGTTTATCTGGGAATTCATATTAATTACGAAGAAATGGTAGCTACAGTATTTAACTTAAAGCATCTATGTCGTGGAAGTAAGAGATGGTTTGGGAGCAAGACCCAAAACCAATCTAGAACTGATTTTTGTAGCTGTGTGTTAATATATTTCCCTTTTCTTTGGAGTTGTGTGTGTATCTATCCAAATACATCTGTGATGCTGCTCTCTAAATATTCAAGTGTAACTCTTAGAAAATTGTTTCATTAATAATTGACAAATTAATTTCAACTAGATATAGCCTTAATGAATTTTGTAAATGGTTTGGGTAATTTTATTAATAACCAATAAGACCTTGAGTATATCGGGTATTATTTTATTTATTTATTTATTTATTTATTTATTTTTGAGACGGAGTCTCACTCTGTCACCCAGGCTGGAGTGCAGTGGCATGATCCCGGCTCACTGCAACCTCTGCCTCCTTGGTTCAAGCCATACTCCTGTCTCAGCCTCCCAAATAACTGGGATTACAAGCATGTGCCCCCATGCCTGGCTAATTTTTGTAGGGTATTTTTTTTTTTTTTAATTGATTATAGATGTAATATACTTTTTTTCTCTAAAATGGACAGTCTGCAGAATCTTGCCTTCCCATTGTTTTATTTCTAAATGTAGCACCTAAACATGTACCTTTTCACTCTGGATTTTGTTAGATAATCAGTGTGTTTTAAATTTCTAGATTTAAGTGAGTGGTACTGCAGGAAGTCCATTCTGGCTCTGGTGGATGGACAGCCTTGGGACATGTATAAGCCTTTAACAAAGTCGTGTGAAATTAAATTTCTTACTTTCAAAGATCGTGATCCAGGAGAAGTGAATAAGGTATTTCTGTCTCTACATTCTTTTTCTATTTCCCCAGTATCTTCACCTTTTTATTAAGACCTGTTTCCTATGGGGTGTAACGTAAAAATATGGCCAAGTTCAAATGTTGTGTTGTACTCTTTAGTCAATGTTTTACCTGTTAGATTAGGCACTTTTATAGTTCAAAAAATATCAGTGGCATCCATTTCTGGGTGTTTTTGGTATGCTATGTCTTTTATATTAATATCTTTTTTCAACTTACATTCATTAATCACTATATTGTGGGTGATTCCGTTTCCACTGCTACTGCTTGAATTCAGCGTTTGACCATCTTATCTAGATGATTTCAATAACTTTTTAACTCTTTCTGCTTACCCATGTCCCCACTTTTTTTTCCGGTACTTAAAAGTTGTTCTTTTACAGGCCTGTAACAGCTTTATTAAGTGACATGACTAAGGAGCATGTCACTTACACCTAAAGAACTTGCCTACCTGATAACATTCACATGGCTTTCCAGGGCCTGTATAATCTGTTCCCAGCCTGCCTTTCCAGCTTGGCCTCCCCCTTGCTTCTTTGCTTTTCCTCCTTGTTCTGGCCACATTAGAGTACTTGGCCACTGTATTAGTCCGTTTTCACATGGCTATAAAGAACTCCCTGAGACTGGGTAATTTATAAAGGAAAGTTTAATTGACTCAGTTTTTCATGGCTGGAGAGGTTTCAGGAAACTTAACAATGATAGTAGAAGGGGAAGCAGGAACATCTTACATGGAGGCAAGAGAGAGAGTGGGGAGGGAACTGCTGAACACCTTTAAACCATCAGATCTCATGAGAACTCACTCACTATCATGAGAACAGCCTGGGGGAAACCGCCCCATGATCCAGTCACCTTCCACCAGGTCTCTCCTTCGACCCCTGGGGATCACAATTCGAGATGAGATTTGGGTGGGGACACAGAGCTAAACTATATCAGTCACTAATGGTTTATGCTGTGCTATCCACCTTGCTTTTTTTGATGCCTTCTTCAAATGAGCATTTTCTTTTCTCTCTATTAAAATCCTATTTATTTTTTACAATTCAATTAAAAGGCCATCGGCTTTGTGGTACCTTCTAAGTTTCTCCTTGTCAAAATTAATCCTCTTTTCTCTAAGGTCTCACACAACTTGGCTAGTCTCTAGATATGATATTTGAATTTTGTCTTGTAGCATAAACTGTTGAATGTGAAGATAGGGACCACTTCCCTTATTGGACCTAGTTCTTGATATACATACAGTAGGTGTTTAATAAATATTTGTTGAAATAGTTGAATAAGAAAATGATAGAAATGACAGTAATAGCCAACAATAGGTATGTATGTATTATGTATCAGGCACTGTTCTAGGTGATTTACGGATATTAACTCGTTTAACCTTCATACAAACTCTACAGTGTTCATGCTGTTCTCCCCATTTTCCCGATTAATAAACTGAGACAAAGAGAAGTTCAGCAGCTTGACCAAGGTTACTGATTTATGAACTAGTGGAGCCCAGATTTGAACCTAGGCATTCTGGCTGGAGTTCAACAGACACTTAAAGACATTTAAGTAGGATAGATGAAGAAGTACATGTTGCCACTTGTCTTCAAGGCCTGGGTCTGTACTTATTTTTAGTGTAATATGGTTGTATAGAATTTATAATGGAGAAGTGATCCCACTTTTGTAGTCCTCAAATGTTAAACAGAGCTTCTGAAAAGTGCTCAGAGTAGTGTCAGCAAGAGGGGAACACAATGGACAGTTACACTGCAGGTTTCTCCTTGTGACTGATCAGGTCATTGCTCTGATACCATCTCAATCAGGCATGTCCATGAATCAAAATGTGCTGGTAAGATGAAAGCCCAGTTGCTGCTGCTCTGCTGTAAATATGAGTAATCTGAACGACCTGTTAGGGTGTTAGGTGTAGGATAAGAGTCACTAATCATTCATAAAAGTTGAGTTTTTTCTCCATATTTATAAATGGTATAAACAGTTACATAATTAATATCTTTATTTTACTTTAGCACAAGTTTGTTAACAAGTTAACTTTATCCTGGGTTAAAAAAAATACTTTCAGATAATAAAACTATCTGTCAGGGTTGACAACCATTATGGTGCTTGGTGTCTTGCACAGAAACATTACTAAGAACCTGAAGTTGATGCTTCATTCTTTCTTGATTTTTGCTTGGTTGAGGTAATGTCATTGTCTGATGGTAACTGTTGCTACGTTGTGCGAACAGAGATATATGAGAAATATTTTCGAAGTCAAAAGTTCACTTACAATTTAATATTGTCGAAACTTTAGTGAATCTCAGTGTGCTTATATATATTTTATATATGTATGTATTTTTTTCTAGGCTTATTGGCGTTCCTGTGCTATGATGATGGGTTGTGTGATAGAGAGGGCATTCAAAGATGAATATATGGTCAATTTGGTCAGAGCTCCGGAAGTTCCTGGTAATGTACACATATAAATATATGTCTTTTTGTGATCCTTAAATATTTTGGTACCTATTTTTGATGATGTATAGAGTTTAGTTCTAATTTTATCTAGTATAAATTACCATTATACATGTTTCATTTATCACGAGTAACAAAATCTATCTTATTATGATGAAGCATGAAGTAGTCTTTGCAGGTTAATAATTAACATCATAGAATTACTGGAAAATGTTTGTCTTGAATATGAATTTCATGGAATTCCACTATCTCAGCATTTATTTATTTATTTGAGACAGAGTCTCACTCTGCCGCCCAGGCTGGAGTGCAGTGACACGATCTTGGCTCACTGCAAGCTCCGCCTCCCGGGTTCACGCCATTCTCCTGCCTCAGCCTCCCGAGTAGCTAGGACTACAGGCGCCCGTCACGACGCCCAGCTAATGTTTTTGTATTTTTAGTAGAAATGGGGTTTCACTGTGTTAGCCAGGATGGTCTTGATCTCCTGACCTTGTGATCCTCCTGCCTCGGCCTCCCAAAGTGCTGGGATTATAGGCGTGAGCCACCGCTCCTAGCCCTCAGCGTTTATTTTTTTACAACGTTAAGCATATATTTCCAAATTGCATGTGTAGAGGAGGAGGAAATATGAGTATAAGTAGACTGCTGGAAAGAGCTGTCCTTAGGTGGTAATATTTCACCAGACATGACTGTTACTCTGGAGAGAGACAACACTGTGGTGAGATGAAAGGGTGTACATTGTAATTTTGCTAAAACTAGGATTTTGGAATAGTAAGTATGGTAAGATCACATGTATAATTTTTTTTTTTTAAAGAAGTAGGTATACCTAAAATATGTGAAAGAAACTCAAGAAATGATTCTAAGAACAAAACGCCAAAAAGAAGCTATTTAGGCGATATAAAAGAAATTTAGCATTTCATGTCCATTGAGTTATTTATCTACTTACTAAATATGTTGTTCTTTTGAAAAATTTTTTTTTTTTTTTTTTTTTTTTGAGACGGAGTCTAGCTGTGTCGCCAAGGCTGGAGTGCAGTGGCATGATCTTGGCTCACTGCAACCTGCAACTCGCAGATTTAAGTGATTCTCCTGCCTCAGACTCCCGAGTAGCTGGGATTACAGGCATCTACCACCACGCCTGGCTAATTTTTGTATTTTTAGTAGAGACTGGTTTTTACTATGTTGGCCAGGCTGGTCTTGAATTCTTGACCTCAGGTGATCCACGTGCCTCGGCTACCTGGAATTTTTACATCTGATAACTTTATGAAATCTGTATGGTAATTAGCATTTTTGAAGAAAACTTCAATGTTTAAAAAATATTAGTGATTAGTGATTTGGGGTTAACAATCTTTTGGCTAAGGGAAATTTGATAGAGCTCTGGCAAGCAGCTGGAAGAATGGCAACCATTTTATAATTTGTAGAGTTGGGAGAGATTGCTAATCCTTCATTTCGTAGTCTAAATATTCAGTTGTTGCAAATTAGTAACTTTCTGTTAGGGCAGATTTGACTTTGCTTTTTATTTTGGTTGGATTTACAGTAATTTCTGGTGCCTTCTGTTACGACGTAGTTTTGGATAGCAAACTTGATGAGTGGATGCCAACAAAAGTAAGTGTATTCTTCTGGAGTATTAATTTTAGAGTGTCTGCCTTTCTTTGTTTGAATGACTCCTGTGTTAGTTTTGTTGAATAGTACTGCACATTGAGGACATTTAAAAGAATCTACCTATGTATCTATCTGTGTATCTATGTATCTGTCTGTCTGTCTGTCTATAGGTGTTGTTGCTTTTTCAGCGTATTTAAGACAGAGATATATGAATGAGAGTATTTACATCAACATGGTCAGTTGTCTTGAAACTCTATGTCCTGCTTGACCTTTTCTTGATGTTCCTTCTAAGCGGTTTTAAGGTAGTGGTTTTCAAGAGGCCCAGAATATAAAATATAAAAACTTAACTATCTTGACCGATATGGTAGTAGGGGGCCTGGCGCCATACCTGTTTGGATCACTGGAGCACAATTTGAAAACCACTCCCTTAAACCATTTTAACTTGTTGCGTACAGTGAGGTCCCTGTATATACAAGGGGCACATTGAGAGCTGGGTGAATTAAAGAATCCAACTTTGACAAAGCTAACTCGAGCATCAACAAACGAAATATTAACAAACTAAACTCTTTGTGAATGGTGTGCCTTTGTAATGAGGATGGTCCTTGTTGGTCTGGGACTTGGGTAGCAACAGAGCCTAACAAGGACAGTCTAGATCAGGTGCTCTGTAGGTAAGGGGTGCTGATGGTTATCAAAGATCAAGCCTGGAGACATAATTCTGATTGGGAAGAATAGGCAAATACCTAATTCTTAATTAAACAAAACTATATGTCCTATGTATTGGGAGTCCGGAGATCTGAAAAGGGGAAGCCGTGTACCACATCATTTTATCATTTCCACTGTGTACATTCTTTTTATATTTAGTATCTCTGAAAATATATGAGCCTTATAGTAGATGGTATCTTGCAACTAGAATTTGTAGTGTGTTTTTGTTTTTGTTTTTTCCTTTAGTAATATATCTTAGATTTAGTGAAATACTCTAGTGGTTCTTAAAAGCAAAGATTTTGAAGTAAGGGCAGATCTAGTTTTAAATTTGGCCTTGGAAATTACTTTCTGTATAATCCTGCCCATATTACATAATATTGAGAGGGAGAGAAGAGGGAATCAAGAAAGAATGAGAAAAAGGGAGAGGGAAGAGAGAAAGAAGAGGATGGAAGGAGGGGAGGGAAAGGATTGGAACTATTTCTTCATGACTTCTGGGCTCCTGTCAGTGTAGCTTCCTTTTCAAGTATGTCTCCAAATTTAAGATTTTCTGGGCTCCTGTCAGTGTAGCTTCCTTTTCAAGTATGTCTCCAAATTTAAGATTTTCTTTACTGGGGCGAGTTACGTAAAAACTGAGGTCAAGATTCAATTTTCATTATCTATGAAACATAACTGCTTTTTTCTTTCTTTCTCTCTCTTTTTTTTTAAGAGATGGGGGTCTCACGATGTTGCCCAGGCTGGCCTTGAACTCCTGGGCCCAAGCAATCTTCCTGTCTCAGCCTTCCTGGTAGCTGGGACTGCAGGTGTATGCCACTGTGCCTGGCTTTTGCATTTTTCTTTTTTAAAAGATAAAACCTTACAAAAGAAATATGCAAGCTGATTGCAAACTGAATGGAGTTGGGTTGAGTAGACAGCTTAAAGAAAGTAGAGTAGAGTTACATTGAAGGAATAGTTGTATTAAACCATGAATGTTGATTTTTTTATATGGTAAATTATTCTTTATAGAGAAGAGTCATTTCATGCAAAAAAGTCTAATAGGATTTTTATGGAAATAATTTTATTATAAAAATTACTTGTGTAATAGTGCTTGGTCTTTTCTGTATTAGTAATGATTTGTAGTATGAAAGTTTAATTAGAATTTTTATTAAAAATCTTACAAACATTGTTAATGTGTATTATTCATCATTTTAATTGTGTAAAATTGACATTTTTATTAAGCAAAAACTTAATATTGGACATGTTATACTTTGTACAGGGTTGGTGATGATGTTACATTTCTAGTGAAACTTTCTTAATTATGAAAACAATAACTTTTTCCCCATACATTTAATAAACTTAGTTTTATTCATACTGTAAACACATTTTTATGTCTTGCTATTGAATTATTGGCATTTTTACTTGGTGCATCATAGTTTTAATAACATTTTAAGATTGTGTAATTTGAATGAAATTATAATATAATTTGGATAAAATTTCTTTATAGGTTTATCTTCAGTAATTAGTATTAATGAAGGCTGACACCTTAATTACTGGTAAATAAGAAGTTTTATAGTTTATGGTCAAAAACTTCATTTGTTGCAAATTAATAACTACCTGTTCTAACAAACTTGATTTTGTCTTTTATTTTAGTTGGATTTGCAGTACTAAGCATAGAGTTTTGTCTCAACTGGCTTATGGAGAAATGCTTTTCAGTAAATTGTTACTAAAGGTTATTACTTTCATTTTTAAGGAGAACTTACGTTCTTTCACAAAGGATGCTCATGCTTTAATTTATAAAGATCTTCCATTTGAAACTCTGGAAGTTGAAGCAAAAGTGGCATTGGAAATATTTCAACACAACAAGTAAGTGTTGGCTTTCTTTAAATCAAGGCTAACTCTTCCTGTATTATATGTAATAAAGAAAATTCAGGTCTTAAGAATTTTTATATTTGATATACATATGACAGTGTATTATTTTCCACTCTGAGACCTCTGTTTCTGATCTCATTTATTTTGCTGAGGAAAATGTTCCCCACCTCCCTTGATAATTTTCTCACTTTGTTTTACTTCTCTGTTCTTGGACCAGCCTTTCTCATTATATCAACATAGTAGTATGTTTCCTTTTTTTCTTTCTAGTGTGAAGTGATAACGCACGTTAAGCAACTATATAATTTTGTGTATTTGGCAGCGTTTCTCTCCTACCCCTCCACACTTAAAATGACACTGATAAGATTGAAAATGCAAGCAGTTTGGAAGAGGGCTAATAGTTGAAGTAAAATGTTTACACAGCCAGGTTTTAGTGTTCTGCATGTGAATTATTCATTTGATGGATTTTCTTTTAACATTTTAATTCCTGCCTGGCTTCTCAATTCTCACTCAGAAAACTTTCACTTCACCTTCTACTACTGGTTATAAGAACATAAGCTACATTTTAACGTTAACCTAATAGAATATTAGAACTTTAGAAAGAGAAATCTGTGCTGTAAAAAAACCAAAAAAAAAAACACCAAAAAAACCCCAAAAAACCAGAGTCTGAAGTCAAAATATGCACCTACAAATTGTTAAAGGTTATAGATTAGAATTTCTTTAGGTATATAGAAGTTGAATTACAAATTCTTATAGGGATAGGTTATCATAAATATATTGGGTTAGTTATGAGTGTGTTTTTGACACATACTTTATAGCTTAGCATTTTTCAAAGCTATCTGTCTCATAATATTCTTCCATAAGATGTTAATTGACATATGAAACCATGTACTGTGTTAAGCTGAGTTTGAAGAACAGTGGCTTAAAAATTTTACTCATTGCACTCAAGGGTCTCCGAAAGTGGACACTGAAAATTTCCCAAATATATTTGCCCATGAAACACTTTATCTTGAAACATTTTTAGCGTGTCCTGGAACCAGTGGACTTAGAAACCAGTTGTAATGTACTGTTTTAACTAGAGTACAGATAGTATTGTAGAACCAAACCACCATTTATAGCATTGATTCTACAAGAAAATTCTTTGGACTGTCTGAACACGTCAAGTCACTCTCTGTGCCAGAAGTCTAGGCACATGCTCCCAAAAGAAATATAATATGAGACATCTGTATAATTTGCAATTTTCTAGTAGTTACATTGAAAAAAAGTCAAAAGGTGAAGTTAATTTTAATGATTTTATTTAAATGATACATCTAAAATGTTATTTCAGTGTAATCAATATTAAAATATTGATGTTATTTTATATTCTTTTTCACTCTAAATCTTCAGAACTTGATATGTGTTTTACACTTAAGGCTCATTTTAACTAGTACTAATCACATTTAAGTGCACCGTGGTACTTTACTGGACAGTGTACTTTTGACTTCCATTCAGTATACATTGAGATTTCCCATTCCGCTACCTAACTGTCAGGGACTGTAGGGGCTTCTGGGACTTTTGTAGCTTAGTTGAGTGTGTGGTAGGAGGAAGGGGATAGTTCTGGAGGGAGCTGGACAGGACAGAAGAGTTGAATCATTGAAGGTGGGTCCGTGATTGAGCCTTTCTGCTGCAGGGGTAATGGTGGGGCCATTTTGTGGCTTTGACTCTCGGGACAGGAGCATCTCTTGGAGGTGGGTCAGGAGGGACAAGTATTCAAGGTACTTGGCACCCTTATTAGTGCCTGGGGGACTGTAGCAGTCAGGGGGTGTTTTTGCATAAACCAGTGTTCCCCAACTTTGCTGCATAATTGCGCATACACCTGTGGTGCACATACACATATTACTTGTTTAGCACCCTGGGGTAAATGGACAAAGCTCTCAATAGTAAATGGTAAAGTCGTGGTTTGAACCTGGGCTGTGCAGTGTCATCTGTGCCTTTAGCTATACTGACAGGATTGGGTAGATTTGAGAGACACTGGGCAGTCAAATTGACAACCTGATAATGAATTGAATGGAGGGGATATGGTTGGAGAAAGAAATCAAGGAAATCTCCCAGGTTTTTCACATGGACACCTGGGTGGTTGGTGGTGGTGTACTAAGACAGGAAATTCAGGAGGAGGAACAAGTTTGGGCGGGAAAGAGGTGATAATTTGTGCAGTTTGGAAATTTCAGGGTAAGGTGCTTGTGGAACATCCTAGAGGGATGTCCAGATGGGTCTTGGAAACTGTGGTCAGAAGAGGTAGGAGATGAGAGGCAGAGATATAGGAGATATAACTACCTAAATTGTAGCTCAGAGGCTGGCCTAAGGAGGATGCTTGAAGTGAAAAGAGGGTGTAGCATAGAATTCTCAAAGGGTAGAGAAACACAAGAGTGGCCAGAGATGTAAAATAACAAGCAGTAAGGAATGCCACTGATACCCATGGAAAGAGCACTTTGAGGTTCGGTGTGGTGGTTCATCGCTATAATCCCAGCACTTTAGGAAGCTGAGGCAGGAGGATTGCTTGACGCCAGGAGTTTGAGACCAGCCTGAGCAACTTAGCAAGACCCTATCTTTACCAAAAAAAAAAAAAAGGTTAGCCTGGCATGGTGGCTCACACCTGTAGTCCCAGCTACTTGGGTGGCTGAGGCAGGAGGGTCGCTTGAGCCCAGAAGTTTGAGGCTGCAGTGAGCTATAATTGTGCCACTGCATTCCAGGATGGCTGATAGAGCAAGACCCTGTCTCAGAAAAAATCAAAATAAATAAAAATGGAAAGAAAGAACACTTTGAGAAGTGGAGGTGAGCATTGGTATTAAGAAAATGAGGAACACAAAGTGTTCATTGGGTTGACACCAAGCAGGTACCTGTGACTTTGTTGAGAACAGTTTGGCAGAGTCGTGGGGCTGTGGCCAGATTAAAGGGAGGTTCCAAGTGTAACCCACTCTCGAAAAGTATGGCTGAAGAGGAAGAGAAAGGGAGGAATCTTTAAACACTTTTTCACTTATTTAGGGTTAAAAAATGTTTTTTTCTTTGCTGCTTTTCAGGTACAAAATAGATTTCATAGAAGAGAAGGCATCTCAGAACCCTGAGAGAATAGTCAAGCTACACAGGTAAGTAAAAGTCTAAAAACTGGCTGCTGTGTTAGAGTAAGGCTTAGCTTTATTGTTATCTGAATGAAGCATATGACCAAAAAAGATGAATTTGTACCTTATTTTGTTCTTTTCACCTTATTTTTTTTGCTTTGTTCATTGTTTTGATATGGTGGTAAATGGAAGCTTTAAATTACCTTCAGGAACACTTGTAGTTTCTATAATCCTCATTTTATTGTTTGCTATTTTTATTTAATTTTGAGTTGAAAACCACTGTTTAAGAATGTAATTTTTAGGAGTTAGTTTTGAAACTGGGCAAGATAGTCATTGTTATGAATTGAACATGTTAATTCATATGAATATTGACTGACTAGTAATTATATATGATACATGTTAAGCCAGAATGTGCTTTCTGACACATGGATAAGAAAGGTTCACTGCTTATGATGACATTCTCCCATGGAGAGCAAGTCCCAAGACAATGCATTCTGCAGAGATGACTTCATGACCTGGATCTGTTTTCTCAACCTCCTGTTTTTATGAATTGGACTTAACTTTTTTCCTCTAGAAACTGCCCTTTGTTTCTGAACACAATCTGTCCTACACGCTGAATTCTAAACTTTGTTATATGGGTTGTTTTAAGGTTGTAGATGATCGGTTTTAGGCAGTTGAATCAGCTTGATAGCATGATGTGTTGTGTGACTCTTAAAGACCTTAAAATTTATACCAATGTTAATTAAGAAAATGGTTCATTTGATTTAATTTTCAAAGTTTTAGCCTCTTTACTTGAGGTCATTATGTCAGGGGTCATCAGAAACTAAATTGAACCATATATAATGTTCTTGATTAGGGATGCTAGCAGCAAAGAGAATGAAGAGATTTCTTTTTCAAGCTCTTACAAATTATTTGATGTTGCAGTTTTGTTTGTTTATTTTTAAATCAATCAGAATAGGTGACTTCATTGATGTGAGTGAGGGCCCTCTTATTCCAAGAACAAGTATTTGTTTCCAGTATGAAGTGTCAGCAGTTCACAATCTTCAACCCACCCAGCCAAGTCTCATACGAAGATTCCAGGGTGTGTCTTTACCCATTCACTTAAGAGTAAGTAAAGCTTAAAGTTCCAGGCCTTCCAATTTGGGTATAGATATAATTCCGGACTTGATTTTATACCAGTTTGAAGACTATAAACTTCTAATTTTTCATAAGTTATATGACACTAATATTTTGTAAACTCAGGTTTATGATTAAAAACAAAGTTGCCCACGGTGTAAATATACAGTTACAAAAGAAACATTAGTTGAAAAGATTAAATCAAATTGATGTAGTATTTAAAATTTTCAAATTAGCATAGGTGAGGGTACATTGACAGAGCGGGTATTAGAGTGCATATTGGTAAGACCTTTCTGGAATGCCTTTTAAGCTTAAATTTGGCATGATCTTCCCTCTAATTTTAATGATCCATTCATGACCCGAAGCCTGACCTTTTCCACATTGCTCCCACCCCTTGCTAATTTTTTTATTTAAATTTTTGATTTTGAGATAATTGCAGTTATAAGACATAGAGAGATCCCATGTATCTTTACTTGGTTTCCTCAATGGTAGCATCTTGCAGTACTAAAATACAGTATCACCACCAGGGTATGGACAGCGATATAATGAAGATACAGACCAATTCCTTCACCAAGCGGATCCCTCATGTTGGCCTTTTATAGACACACGCATTTACAGCCACTTCCCTCTGTTGCCCCCATTACCCTGCCTGCTTCCCCCTGCCAACTACTTATCTGTTTTCCTTTTCTATAATTTTGTTACTTCGAGAATATTACATGAATGGGATTGAACAGTATGTAATTTTTTGGGATTGGCACTTTTCACTCAGTATAATTATCTGAAGATTCATCTGAGTCATTGAGTATATCAGTAGTTCATTCATTCTTATTGCTAAGTAGTATTACTTGGTCTGGATATATCATGGTTTGTTTAACCATTCATCCATCAAAGGACATCTGAGTTCTTTTCAGTTTTTGGCTATTACAAATAAAGCTGCTGTGACATTGTGTGCAGGTTTTTGTGAATATTTCTCTGGGCTAAATATAGGAGTGCAGTTGCTGGGTTATGTGATAAGTATATGTTTAGTTTTTTAAGAAACAACCAAATGTTCCAGAGTGACTGTACCATTTTACATTCCCACTGGCAATGTATGAGTGATCAGTTTTTCCACATCCTCACTAGCATTTGATGCTGTCAGTACTTTTTTTTTGTTTTAGTCATTCTGGTACATTTGTAGTGATATCTCATTGTAGTTTTAATTTGAATTTCTCTATTGACCAATGGTATTGATCATTCTTTTCATGTACTTATTTGCCATCTATATATCTTCATTGGTGCAATGTCTGTTTATGTCTTTTGCTAGTATTCTAATTAGATTGTTTTACTTTTTAACAGTTGAGTTTTGAGAGTTCTTTATGTGTTGTAGATATTATTTTTTTGTTAGATATGTAGTTTTCAGATTTCTCTCTTTGTCTTTACCTTGTGTTTGTATATGTGGCTTGTTTTCTCATTCTCTGAGCAGCCTTTTGCAGAGAAGACGTTTTTAATTTTGATGAAACTAGTTTATCAAAATTTGATCAAATTTTTGTTTTTATGGATTATGTTTTTGGGGTTAATTCTGAGAACTCTTTGATTAGCCCTAGATCCCAAAGATTTTCTCCTTTTTTTTTTTCTTCCTAAAGGTTTTAGAGTTTTACATTTATTTAAATCTGTGGTCCATTTTGAGTTACTTTTTCTATGAGTGTGAGATTTAGGTTTAGGTTTAGGCTTTTTTTTTTTTTTTTTTGGTGGGCTATAGATGTCAAATTGCTCCAGTACCATTCGTTGAAAAGGCCACTCTTCCTCCACTGAGTTACTTTTGCATCTTTCTTAAAAATTAGCTGAGCATATTTATGTAGGTCTATTTTGGGTCCTCTATTCTGTTCCATTGATCACGTATGTTTAGTTTTCTACCAGTACCACACAGTCTTGATTACTGTAGCTCTAAATAGGCTGTGAAATCAGGTAGAGTAATTCCTCCCTTGTTACTATTTTTTAATCAAAATTGTTTTAAGTCTTCTAGTTTATTTGAGTTTTAATGTTAGGGTAATATTTTCAATCTCAACAGAGTCTTCCTGAGATCCTGATAAGAAGTCCATTAGAGCTGTATAGCAGTTTGGGGAGAATTGACATCTTTAATATGTTGAGGTTTCCAGTCTATGAACTTACTATATCTTCTTACTTATTTATATCTTCTTTCATCGCTCTCATTTTGTAAAATCTAGCACACCTCTCATGTACGTTTGACTTTGACTTTTCTCCACATACCTGCTTCTTTTCCTAGCCTTCCCAATTTCAGAAAATGGGATCATCCTTTAACTCAAGCTTGTCCAACTCACAGCCCGTGGGCTGCATGTGGCCCAGGATGGCTTTGAATGAGACGCAAATTTGTAAACTTTCTTAACTTTCTTAAAACCTTATGAGATTTTTTTGTGACTTTTCTTTTTTTTTGTTAGCTCATTAGCTGTCATTAGTATTAGCATATTTTATGTGTGGTCCAAGACAATTCTTCTTCCAGTGTGGTCCAGGGAAGCCAAAAGATTGGATACCCCTGGTTTCCTTAGTTGTTTAAGGTAATCCTTGATTCTCTTTTTCCCTCGTAGCCATGCCCCAGCCCGTCTATCCGCAAGTCCTTTCAACTTTTAACCCTGAGACATATTCTGAATCTATGCACCTTTTAGCATCTCATCTACTACTACTTCCCTTATCCAAGTTCCTCTTTGTTTTCACTCACCTTCCTTGCTTTCACTCTTGCCCTCTACAGTGCATTTTCCACTTAGTAGCCAAAGTGATCTTTTTAATACACAATCTGTTGTGTACTTCCTCTGCCCCAAACTTTCCAGTGGCTTCCCTTGAACAAATCCCAACTCTTTACCCTGTCTCACAAAGCCCTGCATTATCTGATCCCTGCTTGCTTCTCTGACTTTATCTAACACCACTCCTTTCCTCATTCACTTTATTCCAGCCACAGCTCAAGGTCTCTACACCAGCAGTTCATTCCGCCTGAGTCAGGCATGTGTTCCCTTCAAACATACCAATCAGCTCTTTCCCTAGAAGGGTTTGTGTGTCGATATTTATTAATTTTACCTTTTATTACAGATTGTATGCAGTGTGAAATAGTCACTGGCCTGCCCATATGCCTTGGTATCACTTTCAGTTGACCTAATAAAATTGATGTGGTCATGATACACTTTGTACAGGTTTCCTTAATGCATTCTGATAATCCTCTGCTACAGGAGATTGTTAAGGACTAAGGAAATTGAGTTTAAATTTTACTATTGTCTTGGGAGGCCAAGGCAGGAGAATCGCTTGAACCCAGGAGGCGGAGGTTGCAGCGAGTGGAGATTGCACCACTGCACTCTAGCCTGGGCGACAGAGTGAGACTCCATTTCAAAAAAAAAAAAATTTACTATTGTCTTTGTTAGGTTTTTTTATTCTTTAGGGTAACTTGATGAATTCTTTGGGTCTGCCATTTCAGTGTGAAGATGTCACAGTTGGTTTTTAATGACTATCTTATTATGATTTGAAGAATGACTTCTAGAATATTGAAACTGGCTATTTAAGGATTGAACCACAATCTATGGGAAAGTAGGGCAGATTTTTGCTTCCTATTAGAAGAAATGCTTTCTGTGATGGAAATGATTAAGAGGGGCAAAAGTGAAAGAAGGGCACGTTCAATCCTTAAGTGTTTTTTTCTTAAATGCTCACTGCAACCTCTGCCTCCTGGGTTTAAGCAATTGAAGAAAGCAAAAAACAAAGCAGCTATCCTATGTAGTACCTTTTTTTGCTACTTTTATAACCACTTATCTATACTAGTGCTGCCTAGCTTTTTATTTATTTTGTTCTAAAAGCTATATAGTCCGTCCCTTTTACTTTGACTTTACTACTTTATTTAGTTCATCGCAAATCTTTTCTTTTCAAGGCACATTTTACGATATGGGATAAGCTATTGGAAAGATCTCGGAAAATGGTAAGTGTTTTTGACAGCTAATGAGTACTCTTCTATAAAGAAATTCATCAAAATTAACCAGTAACAACCAGAGGGGTGAGGGGAAATGAAAGAAACAAAGAGAAAGGAAAAAAGTAAGTTGTCTCAATAGTCAAAGCAGTGTTGTGATTGTTCACTAGTGTTTTGGTAAGGGTAAAGTTGTAACTTGGCAGTTCTCTTTTGATTTTGTTTGTTAATGTCATGAAAATGATATTGTAGAACTTGAAGAGAAATAATATTACTATGTAATAGTAATGGTTCTTAATAGTTGTAATGGTATCAGTTAGATCTTAGGATTTTTTTTTGTAAACTTAATGAATATTTAAAGGATTAAGATTTGTCAGTTATATTTTAAAGCTGTCTTTAGCCATTAACAGTAAATGTGCAAATGTCCTCATGTCCTGAAAAACCAGATTTGAATGTTTGTGTTTTTGTAGTTTATTCTTTGTCATTAGCATTTAGACTTCATGAGTAGGAATGATAGTATTTTTTTTTTTTGAGACAGAGTCTTGTTCTGTCTCCCAGACTGGAGTGCAGTGGTGCGATCTCGGCTCACTGCAACCTCCACCCCCCGGGTTCAAGCGATTCTCGTGCCTCAGCCTCCCAAGTAGCTGGGACTACAGTGCCCACCACTACGTCCAGCTAATTTTTTTGTATTTTTAGTAGAGACAGGGTTTTACTGTGTTAGCCAGGATGGTCTCGATCTCCTGACCTCCTGATCCACCCGCCTTGGCCTCCCAAAGTACTGGGATTACAGGCATGAGCCACTGCGCCCGACCTGAGTGATTGTATTTCTTGACCACAACTATCCCTGTTTCCTATTTCATAGGTTAAGTGTGCCTCTTTTACTTAGGTTATCTGATAGCTGTCCTGTGTAATCTGGCCTCATTAGGCCTTCCTCCTTATCCTGATTGCCCACAATGACACAAACACTCTGGTTAAGCTTGCAAGCACATTAAGCATCACACATTAAACTCATTTTCAAGTTTGCTTAGTTTTTCTTTCTGGACTCCATTTCCCATTCTCTTTCTGTCTATTTACCACACAGTCGTTCTTCACTACCTCGCCCGAGTCATACCTCCTCCGTGGAACAGTCTCAGAGTAATCTCTAACAAATAATTACTCATTCATATAAGTTTGTGCTTGATTGTATACATCCACATACTGTTTTTTGATTGTTTTCTTTGCCCGTACAGTTATCTTCTACCAAGCCTTTCAGGATTTGTTTTATTTGTGTAAGCCCAAAGTTTGAACACAACATTAGCACATGAAGGGGTTACCCAAGAAATATTTATTGACAGTTTTTCATAATGATATATAAACCTAGTTTTATTAATGACTGTACAGATAGGAATTATTGTTTACGGACTTCATCATAATGTTCTTGGGTAAGGGGTATATAAATTTTTTTTCTAAGGAGAAGAAATTATCTTTGAATGGAGAGAGTAATTTTCTCTTTTTAGTTGGTCACAGTGATCGTTTTAGATTAAGAAACTAAAGAAGAAATGTTCAGCATGTTTACTTGGAGTTAAGTAAAATTAAAAACAATTTAAAAAAGAAACAAAAGAAATGAATATTAAATAAATAGTTTGGGAAACTAAAGAAGCAATAGTGACTGAACACTTTAAAAGGAATGAAAAATGTAGAAAAACGGTAGAGACAGTGTCTTACCTAGAATATCTAATGATGTTAGTCAATACATATTTTTTCAAACATTTATTCTAGTTTAGTTGCTTTTTTCTACTGTCCATTTTGCTTTTCTGAAGGGATTAGATTAAACGTGGTTCATTGATTCAACACAGACTTACGATAGTTTATTGTGTACCAGGTACTGTTATGGTCTGGTGGTACAAAAAAATGAATAAAATGTACTTGCTGCCTTAGGGAAGTAATGTTGATTGATAATTAGACTTATACGGAGACAGTTCAGGTGTACATGTGGGGCTCTGGCATAAAGAAGAGGACTCAGACCAAGCTGGGGAGTTGCTTAAGGAAGGCTTCCAGGAATTGGAGTCTCTTAAGCTGATCTTAAAGGGTGAATAAAAGTGGACCATGCAGATACTCTGTTGGAGAATGGGTTGGAGGTTATCTCAGAGGAAGTCACTTGCCTACATAGAGAACATGATGAATGTAAGATGAATTTGAATGTACAGGTCACATGTAGGGTAGGTAATCAGTCAGTCCGTAAACAGAATATGAGGGGCTTGTGTTCCATGTTGTGGAACTTGCATTCCTGACTTTCCTCCTCCACCTCACTGAGATAATAGAGAGTAACTGGAGAATTTTGAGTAGGGAAGTGACCTGTTGATCAGCTATTCTTGTTTAAAAGCTCATTGTAGGGGTATCATGGGATATAGCTATGACTTAAGCCAAGAGTTCTGTTAGGGGGATAGAAGAGAATGAGGCCCTAAAGTTCAGCCACGATAGGGAGAAGGACTGTGAGAGTTAACTTAGGCTGAATGAGTAGGACTGTTGATGGAATATGCAGGTAGGAAGAAGAGAGTGAATTCTTGAATGCTGTCCTTAGGTAGCCGGGTGGAGCCCTTTACCAAGATAGATGATGCAGGCAGGACAGGTTTTGGGGGTGTTGAATTCAGATTTAGCTGTGTCTGTTTGATGAGTCTGAGTGACACAGAATAGAAATAGGGACATAGAGATATCTATTTAGACTAAATCTGTAATATGCTTTATTCTAAATGGAATTATACTCCAAAAGAAAATAAACTGATTTAAAATAGCTTGTTACAGCACTTCAGGTGTTTTTTCTTACACTAATGATTTTGTTTTACAGCTGAAAAGTAAAATGGCAAACTTGAGAAGCCTAGGTATAATATGCCTTAGATTATATTTTTGAATGGAATTATTGTTCTTTACCTGATAATTTATATTGGTTACTTAGCCTTTAAATCTTTCTCCTTACCTAACTTTCTGTAATAATTACTATTGAAGGAGAAAGATAAAGGGTCATTATAAGAGGGCTATGAAATGATTTAAAATGGTGGGTGAAGGGGTAAAACTGAAAGTGTTTATTAGGAAAGTAAAGCTATTCATGTTTTCACAGGTAACTGAAGATCAAACTAAACCAACAGAGGAATGTACATCTACCTAATAACTTTCTAAAATTTAAATAAGTTTAATAAATTAAAATAAATGTTTTTAATATGTTTGTGTGTGCTTATACAGATTAACCCTTTCTCCCCAAAATTAATAGTGATCTTTACTTTTTCTTTTCTCTAAAGTATGAAACACTTCATGTTGCTCAAATGGAAACTGTACAGAAACAGGTTACTCCCTTCCTTCTCCGTGGATGCAACACTTTGGCATGTTTTCTCTTTTTTTTTCCTGCAGATCTAGGCAGATACATACAAATATAAATGTAATTTCTAAAAAACATAAATAGGATCATACTATACTTGCTTGCATTTTTTGCCAAACAGTGGCACAGTAAACATCCTTGTGCAAAAATGGCAAATGTTTGTAGTAAATAACGTTAACTGAGTATTTATCATGTGCTGGGCCTTGTGCTAAGCTCATCACCTGAAACCTTTTGTGTAATCCCCACAGTGACCTGTTGAGAAGATATTTCTATTTTTTAAATGAGGAAACAGCATAGAGCTTGAAAGTGGTAAAGTGGGAATTTGAACGGAGACAGTTTCACTCACATGCTCTTATGTTCTACGTTGCCTTATGTATAAATAATTTTGTAGGAATAGCTTTCTGGCAGTGGAATTATTGACAGGCGCTACCAGATGCTGGCTTCCCAAAGGTTTTGCCGAATGTTACTCCCAGTAACAGTGTCTGAGAGTGCCTGTTTACCCACACCTTGAGTAAGCCTTGGTAATCAGTCTTACAAAAATATTTTGCCAAAAAGTTTCTGCTTCAGTGTCAGCAAGTTTTCTGTGTCTTGTGCACAGGCTTCCTCTGAAGGCTGTATTTTTTTTTTTTTTTTTTTCTGGGTGAGGTCAGTCCATATCTTCCTGTTTCTTGATTAACTTTCTCATTTTGCTAGCATTTGTCTCTATGCTCCTTTCTAGGAAAAAATGTCTAAGAGGTGAGCCATTGCATGTCCAAAGTGGGTTCTGCACTTGTATTTGATGAACTATTAAGCTAGATACAGAATTCTAGATTGAATAGTAGTTTTCTCTTCGAACTTTGAAAGCAGCTCAGTTATTTTCTGGCATCTGATTTTGCTAATAAAAGGTCTGATGCCAGTCTGATTCTTGTTCCTTTTTATGTAACCTGTTCTCTGCATCCCCTTCCCTCAACACACTCTGGACACTTAGGATCTTTTTATTCTTGGTGGTGTAAAGTTCGACAATCCTGTACCCGTATCTAGGTCTTTAGTCAGTTATTCTGCTTGGTACGTAGGCGGTCCTTTCAATTTTCGACATCTCTCTTTTATGTTTTTTTACTTTTTTTGTTCTTTCTTTTCTCTGGAGGTTCTTTGTTTCTCTAATACCGTTCAGCTGTATTTGCATCTTCTATATTGGTCCTCCGTATTTTTTTCCCTTTCTCTATTATTTTTCCTGCATTTATATTTTACTTGTAATACATTATGTCAAGCATATTTTAATTTCTGAAAGCTGTCTTTTGCTTCTCTTTCATAGAATCCTTTTCAGGTTTTTGGATGTGATGTTTTTTCATGAAGCTCTCTGAAGATATCGATATAATTGGTATTCATTTGTTCATTCACTTTCTAGTCCCTGAATTATCTCTTTTCTCTGGTGACAGATTTTTTATCTTAGTCTTTCACTTACATGTTTCAGGCTTTTTTCAAATGTCTTATGTTTATTGGCTGTCAGTTTGTAATTGAAAATGTGGATGTAGGGAGGTTGAGTGGCAGCTCTGTGGTTTGAGCAAGGTTTGGCTTCTTGTAGGCATCACTAAGGATGAGTAGGTGAATCTGGCTGGTAGCACGAGGGTTTGTAAAATGCTAGAATGAAGAGGTCTTGTCTTGGCTACTGATTTCTAAATTGACTCCTAGTTTTATGCAGACTGTTCTTTCACTGACTTTATAAAAGATCCCTTTGATATTTTACATGGGGCACTCCTTGGATTTAGGTCATTCTGTATTTGAAGATGGGGTAGTGTTCAACCAGTTCGTATACAGGCCTTTAATTAATTCCTTTCTTTTTAATTAGTTTAGATTCAATTAATTCCTCTACTGTCTTCTATCATCTATGAACTTCTGCCGTCTCTGATCTAAGGCCCAGTTGGGCCGCTTGGCTGCCTCTGATGGAACTTCCTCCACCTGTTTTCTAGGTGGTGACGTTCTCTAGTGTTTTATTAGTTACTTAGCTTTTTGTCTTTTAGAATTTGGTTGACATCTCTTGTTTATTGATTTTTTTTCCCATTCTCTTTGTTGTTTGTGAATTTATATACTTCAACATTTTTTTCTCTTAAAAATTGTGAAATATTTGAGCATACAGAAGAGTACAGAGAATAATTTCACAAACTTGTTTGAGTGGGTGTTTTTCATGCTTTTTGGGCAACTAGCACTGTTTGAACACCTGCTTTTTGGCAACTTCCCACTCCATGGATCCTACCTTACCCAGTAGAAGAATGAAATTTAATTTCCTACCCTTCCTTACAGCTACGGCTGAGACAGGTAGCGTGGGCTCACCAATTAGACATACCTGTGTGAAATCTGGAAGCAAGTACTTTGCAGACAAGAGTAGTTGTTGAGAGGAGCAGTGATGTGGTTTTCAATGCAGCAGTGGCAGAGGTCCCATGTAATGGTGCAAGGTGTGGAGGCTGTGCTTAGCAGTTTTTCCCCCACAGCTGCTCCAGGGTATAAAAATCGGTGTTTTTTTGAGCCTCATAGTCCTGACCTCCAGGCCTGAGACTTGTGAGCCATTTTTTTTCTGTTTGTTTAAACTAGCAAGTGTAGATCCTGTTGTTTATAACCAAGAGTGTTGATATACAGCCACTATTTAATTGTAACCACTGTCAACCTTTTTCCTTATTTACTTCATATCGTTTTGTGTTTAAATAAAGGAAAAACTGCACATCCATTGAAGATCTTGTTACGTCATTTCCTTACTCTCACAAAGAACCACTATCCTGTTTGTACCTGTCCTTACTCTTCATGATTTTATATTTTTTACTACAATCCATATTATTCTGTGTATTTTAAAACTAAACATAATTAGTTTCATAATATATATCCTTTTGCAATTTGCTTTTATTGCTCATCATTGTTTTTTATGTATAGCATGTTGATACATGTAAATAGTACATTCATTTCAACTGCTATATAGTATTTCATTATATGATTAATCCTATCATTAATTCATTTTCCTATTGATGACCACTGAGGATGTTATTGGCTTTTGAGTATTACAGTATTGCAGAAAATATCCTTGTGCATGTTTCTTTGTGTACACATTTGATAATATCTCCAGGGCCTGTACCACAGTGGACCATGCATCTTCAGCTTTACTAAATATTAACCGGCTTCCACAATAGTTATACCAGTTTACTCTCCATCAGCAGTATGAGCATTCCCATTTCTCCACTCCCTCATTAACATTTATTATATTCAGACATTCAGATATTTTGTTGGTCGAATATGCATGATCCTATCTCATTTAATTTGCTTAATACTGAGCATATAGTACCAATAAGCACGTCTTCATTTGTTTTTATGAATTACCAGTTTATAACCTTTGCCCCTTTTTTACAATTGGATTTTTGGGCATCTTATATTAATAGTGTGTGTGTATATATATATATATATTTTTTTTTTTTCTTGAGAACAAGTCTCACTCTGTTGCCCAAACTATAGTGCAGTGGCACGATCTTGGCTCTCTGCAGCCTCTGCCTACTGGATTCAAGCGATTCCCCTGCTTCAGCCTCCTGAGTAGCCAAGTAGCTGGGATTACAGGCAAGTGCCACCACACCCAGCTACTTTTTATATTTTTAGTAGAGATGGGGTTTCACCATGTTGCCAGGCTGGTCTCCAACTTCTGGCCCCTAGTGATCTACACTCCTTGGCCTCCCAAAGTGCTAGGATTATAAGTATAAGCCATTGCACCTGACTGGTTCTTTATATTTTTAGAAAGTTAAACCCTTGTGGGCCAGGTGCAAAAAAAGAAAGAAAGTTAAACCCTTGTCACTACAAATATTTCTCTTGTCTGGCTTACCTTTTTGTTTCTGTTGTCTTTAGTTTTAAGGTAGACAATTCATCTTATCCTCTATGATTTATATTTATGAAATTTAAAAAAGCCTTCCCTAAGTTGATGTTATAAAGCAGCCTACTGCATTGTTTATTTTAAAGTCTTGATTTTCACATTTAATTGTATAATTTATTTGAAGTTTACTTTTTGCATATAGAGTGAGGAAAGGGACCTAATTTTGAATCACCCTCTCCTTCACAAGGATAGGCAGTTCTTCTGGACCATTTATTTCCTCTCTACTCTTTTTCTTTTTCTTTTTTTTTTTTTTTTGAGATGGAGTTTTACTCTTGTTGCCCAGGCTGGAGTGCAATGGCGTGATCTTGGCTCACTGCAGCCTCTGCTTCCTGGGTTCAAGTGATTGTCCTGCCTCAGCCTCCTGAGTGGCTGGGATTACAGGTGTCTGCCCCCACGACCAACTAATTTTTGTATTTTTAGTAGAGATGGGGTTTCACCATGTTGGCCAGGCTGGTCTCAAACTCCTGACCTCAGGTGATCCGCCCACCTCATTCTCCCGAAGTGCTGGGATTACAAGTGTGAGCCACTGTGCCCAGCCTATTTCCTCTCTACTCTTAATGATTGTGCCATGCTGTCATATAAAAGGTTCCTTTCAGTGCCTGGGTCTGCTTCATTGGTCCATTTATCTGTCCATGTACCACTGTAACACCGTTTTAACAACTATAGCTTTATAACAAGTTTTGATTTCTCTTATGGTGAGTTCTCCTTTCCTATTCTTTTTCAAAATTTTCATGTTTATTGTAGGGTCAGCTTGTTAACTTCTTAGTTGTCTTAAAATCTGTTTTGTCTGATAATGACATTCCTATGTCGGGTTTCCTTTTAATGGTATGTATTTTTCCATTCCTTTCAACTTTTTCATGTCATTATTTTTTAGATTTTCTCTTAAGAGCATATAGAAATCTTTTTTTTTTTTCCTTTCTTAAACCCATTCTCCTAAAATGATTGTGGATTTGGCGGTTTCTCCTTATGGTTAAATCAGCATTTGCTTATTTTATTTTAAGATGATTTTGTTAGCACTTTGTGTTCTGGTTTGGGATTTTTAAACGTGGTGATAAATTGCTTCTTTTTATCATTTAAATAATGATCCTCTCTACCTCAGTAATAATGATTTTTTCCTTTAATCTAGTTTTCTTAATCTGTTTTTTTAAAAAAATCAGGTTCTATTGTTAATACTAGTTTTTTTTTTTTAGTATTTACCTGGTATATTCTTACTTTCAACATTTTTATGTTGTTAGGTTTTAAGTCTGTCTTGTAAATAGCATAAAACTATTATTTCCTTTTAAATCTAGTCTTTGAATTACTGTCTTTTAGTAGATAAATTTTAATTTGTATTCACTTTACTGTGATTATCATTTCTTTGCATTATTTTTTCTCCTTTCCTGTCATAAGTTGGATTGATCCAGTTTTCCTTATTTTCCCTTTCTTTTTACTTTGTTTTAGAAGTTAGTGTTTCATTCATAAGTGTACCGTTATTTAATCTATTCCCTATTTATGGTTGATTTTTAATTTTTGTTACTGTACTAATACTTCTGTTAGTAGCCTTGTACATATATGATTTCACATGTGTGCTAGTAGCTCTGTAAAATACATTGTTATACCTGATTCCAGGTCAAAGAGTATATGTATTTTAACTTTTAATAAATATGATAATCTTTTAAAGATAAATTTATCCAGTAAGCGGATTTTATATGTCATATGTGATTACATATATTGAAGGAAAGGAGAAATATTTTGTTTTAGGAGTGGCTACTACTGCAGTGTTATTTTTGAAGCATCTCAAAATTGGTTGTTACTATGTCAGGATTACCTGTTGAGAAAAAAATTCCGGAGACAAAATTTCATACATATATTTATAATAATGAAAGTTCTTAAAGCAAACTTGGATACCAGCTTCCTGATCTGCAGGATTTAGGGAAAACCAAATTGATGCTTGAGCATCTGTAAGGAATCCATTCACGTCAACTTGAAAAACAGTTCCTCAAATTGGGACACAGATATGCCAGGTACAGACAGTCCACAATATTAGAACAAGTTGAATTTTCAACATCAGTGGGTACTTGGATACATTTCTCATTCAATTTAAGCAACTGAGCAAGGTCCTGAGCTGGGTGTAATACCAAAAAATTAAAAAGGATTCTCCTTTCCTACAGAAGCTCCATCTAGAAGAGAGGATAATGTATACATAAGTAACAAACCAAACATGGGGCACAAATGTGAAGCACGTTTACGGAGGAGCTATAATCTGCTTTGGGAGCATGGAGGAGAAAGATCACTTCCGGTTAGAACCCTTTTTGGAGTTCTTTTACTATGTGCTTGGCCTGGGTTAAGAGAGCACATTGCTGAGCTGCTAGCATTTGAGAAAGGACAATTTTCCTAAGTGGAGACTGGGTATGATTGTTGAAGCCTTGCAGCACAGGTGAGAGGGTGAGATGGGATGGCATTGACGTTTGTGGCTGTCTCATTAGTCATCCCATTACTTGCAAAGCAAGAACTCGCACCCAATTCCTTCTCATTGACTTTCCCTCTCTGTTGCACTAGGCAGTAGCTGATAGATTAGGGTTAGTTAGTATCAGGTCATCGGTTGGTTGCAGCTGGTGGTAGAACATAGGGCAGCTGGTTTCGGGGCAGTGGGTGGGGAGCGCAGGGGAGGTCAGGTGTATTTCATTGAGGTGGTTAGGATGGTTTTGGTGATGAGGGATGATGAGACTTCATTGGAATTTCATTGCTGCTTATCTCTAGAGAGGTCAACCACAAGACATCTCTTATCACTTAGCCTATGTGGCAGACTCTCATTACACGGTGAATAGTGTGTAAACAGATCCATATGTTGCAGGATTTCTGCTGAGCACCATTCCTAGTAGCAACATCAACAGTAGCATCGTGTATAAAACTACTGTTTCCTCAGAGCTGGTTTATGATCCACCTGAATCTGAACTGCCTGGTCAGCCCGGTAAAAATGTAGTGTCCTCAGCTCCATTACAGTATTACAATCAGTGGGAGTGGGAGCCTGGGAGCTTGGGAATATGCATCTTGACAAGCTTCCCAGGTGAGAATCCTTTGATCTTCAGTTATATATAGAACTTTTCACTTAATTGTCTGCTGTGATGAACTTTTATTTACCAAAAATCATTTCTTTCAGCTTAGTGGCATAGTGAAAGTGAAATGTTCACTGTATTTAAACTCATTTCTGTAGTTAGACTTGGACTTTTAGGATATACTAGGTTAAGTGCTAGTGAGCTGGGAAATCCCTGAGCATTACAGAGAAGGGCGGAAGAGTGACTGAATATAGAGAAGACACCATTGTGATGACATTTGAGGAACCCACCTAAAAAATTCCAGTACTTGTATGTCTTAGATGAATGAAGACTAATACTAGTACACTTAGATTTGTTAAAACACTATAGTAACAGGCTGGGTGTGGTGGCTCACGCCTGTAATCCCAGCACTTTGGGAGGCCGAGACGGGTGGATCACCTGAGGTCAGGCGTTCGAGACCAGCCTGGCCAATATGGTGAAACCCCGTCTCTACTTAAAATACAAAAAATTAGCTGGGCGTGGTGGTACGTATCTGTAATCCCAGCCACTCGGGAGGCTGAGGTAGGAGAATCGAACCTTGGAGGCAGAGGTTGCAGTGAGCTGAGATTGCGCCATTGCACTCCAGACTGGGGGACAAGAGCAAGAGTTTGTCTCAAAAAAAAAAAACCAAAAAAACTACAGTAATAGACAAGGAAAAAAAAAAACTTATGTGAACATTATTTCACTTACCCTTATTGCTATGGGAGAATTTGAAACCCAGAGTGGAAAGTTAAACTCTTATGTGCAAGTTTTTCCTGCTAGTTTCACTGTTTTCCAGTTGTTATTAGTAGAGAACCACATGCTCAGCCAGCTTTTTGTACTTGTGTCCCATCTATGAACTCTACTATTTTTCTTTAAGCTCCCTTTTTTCTTCACATTTCCTCACTTTCTTGAGGTATTCGCTATCACCTATTTTCAGAAAATTTCTAGTATTCTATGTTCTGTATATATTCTTCAGTCCTCTGACTTGACTTTTTTTCTCATATTCCTCCATTTTTTTTCTCCTTAATTTTTAGCTATTGGGTCCATCTAACTGATGACAGTGAATATGAAAGGCTTGGTCTTGAATTCCGTAAATTTCTGGGGAAGTGGGTCAGATCCTAGATGAATCTCTTAACATTTTGCAATTTTTAAAAACCATCCTTAGTTTGTAACTTTCACACACACACAAACACACACACACACTCAGTCACTCACACATACATATATATACCTTGTTACTTACCCGTTCCTCCAATCCAAACACAGACTCAATCTTACTCATGCTTCAAGAATTTTTGTAATGACTGGTCAGGAGGAATCCCTCTACGATGAGGAGATAGGCAGTCAGAAGCCTAGGAGGGCTGGGCATTAGAATAAACCCAGGAACCCTGGTTCTTTGGCTTGTCACCACGGGATTATAGTTAGTTTGGAGCTAGAGTGTCCTTGGGGAGATCTGCTGTGGTAGATCATTTGATTTAAATGACTGAAATGTAAAAGTTTGAAAGTTTGTGTTTAACACTTAATGCATAATAGACATTGTGCTTTCCACATGCATGATTTCATTTAAGCCTACATCCTATGAAATATGAAATATATTCATCATTTTACTGATGAAGAAATTGAGGCTTAGCGGAAGATTAAGTAACTATCTTAGGCTTCATGGAGTGTACTCAAATGCTCTTCAAATAAGGCATTTCCCAGCACAGATTTTCTTCAAGTGCCTTTGTAATGTTCATAGCTTTTTATTGTAACAGCAGGAAGGTTATACTACAATAGTTTATTCCAGCCCTAATGTTCTATGACTTTGTGTCTTTAGGCAGCAAGTAGGATTTTGAAGAACTGGGACTCAAAGCAAGGAATCCTCTTGTAGATATACCGTGGCAGATAAAATGAAGAAACACTTTTTCACTCTGTCACCCAGGCTGGAGGGCAGTGGCACGATCTTCGTTCACTGCGAACTTCACCTCCTGGGTTCAAGTGATTCTCCTGCCTCAGCCTCCTGAGTATCTGGGATTACAGGCACTCACCACCATGCCTAGCTAATTTTTGTGTTTTTAGCAGAGACGAGGTTTCACTATGTTGACCAGGGTAGACTAGAACTCCTGACCTCAAATGATTCACCCGCCTTAGCTTCCCAAAGTGTTGGAATTATAGGCGTGAGCCACTATGCCTGGCCTGAAGAAACTCTCTTGAGTATGTTCTACCTACATGGAAGCTCCATGGAGCCATAAGCTCATTCCACGGGTTAGGAGAAGGAATTTGTATTGGCAGCACATACAACTTGAACGGAAAGTGGGGCAAAGCCAAATGGGTACTCTTACGTGAGAATACTGTGTCCTAGGAGTCAGGAAAGTTCCCCTTAGTATCCTCATAATTTTCTTCCATTGTCTTTTTTTGGCAGATATCTTCTGAAATTATAATTTGTACTTTGCAAAAGAAAATGGGCCATAAAAATTATTTTAAATCAACTAAAGACTTATGAGATTTATTTGGTTACAGTGAATAAACTTGACAAAATGTTGGGAAGAGTTGTTAAAACAAGTATACATTAAATATACTAACAATTACATTTGGTTACATGTTTGTAAGTTATAGTTATTTAGAAAAACTGCATAGAAACCCAAACCTTAAAAAGTCTGCAAATTAAATCATTAGCTTTTCTCTTCTCTAACAAAGTAGGGTGACTAGTTCTTGGATTAACCCAATTATAACATGGATGGAGCACTTGATTATCTTACAGAATATTCTCTATCTCACCTAAACCTCACAACAACCTTGTAAAGCATTATCCCCATTTCATGGATGAAGAAACAGGCTTAGAAGTGAAAAGGTAGATTCTCTGCTTGCACAACCATATTATGTGGCTTAGCTATTGAACTTGAACCTAGATTTGGGACTTCATTTCAAATATGAGTTTTTTAATTAAATCTTTGTATCTTGTATGGAAACAATATCTCACTAGCTCTCAGATGTTATTTACCCTGCTACTTGTTAAAAATATCTCACTTAAAAAATTCAGCTTCATAGCCTTTCAATTTCCCTTTAAGAGTCAAATGAAAGTATTAATTCTAAACTGAAGTTGCCTAAACAGCAAATCGTTACATGGGGGAAAGTACCAGTTTCTAAATATTTTTAAAAATGTTGCTAGACAATCCATGATATAACTGGAGGTTAGTAGTCCTTCTAATTTTTAACTACAAAAATATTATAGAAATTTGTGTTTAGCCCACATTTCTAACAGTTGAATCAAAGGTATTTATGGACATTATATTGAACAAGTCAAAACCTGCAATTAAGAATGACAGGAATACATTTTCTGTTAATGATAAAAACAAACGTGGGCTTGATATTTAAATGAAAATGTTTGCATTTAGGATACTACTGATAAATTTTTTAAATAACCTTACTTTTAAAACTTAGTTTAAGGTTGAACATCCCAGTGATCAGATTATGATTAACAGATTGAAAAATGATAAAGCCTGAAGTCTAAGTTTATCCAGCAGGGTGACTCATGCTTCTTTGTCATCCTCCCACGGCAGCAATTTGTTCCATGTGAATGCTAGTAACAGGCATCATACCCTGTTAATGCTAACATGTAGGAGTCAGTTGGAGGTAAAAACCCCTATCACGATTAGCATTAACAGCATACAGCCTACAGCAAGCCTTCAGCACTCAGAGGATGAGGCATAAAGAATTTAAACCACAGATTTCCCCTTCCTGGTTTGTGCCACCTGCAAGAGAGAAAGAAATGTTTGTGTATGCACATGCGGTTATAAAGCTGGAGTGACAGAATATAGTAAATCTGAAAGGAAAATAGTCCATTTTCTCTTGAAGGAGCTAATTAAATCCTTGGAAGTAATTTGTTGAAAGTGGTAGAGAAATTGGCAGTTAAAAGATGACATTGTTACCTTTAGGCATATTTGAAAACTTTTTGAAAATTATGTTTTCAATTCTATTCTCTAGTTTTGAATCAGGTACACATATGTATCATCTTCTTTAAATCAAAAACAAAAACCACTCTTCAGAGTTTCCAAATGCCAAAATGCAAAGAGGGAAGCTTGCATTCTGACACAGTATAGTTTTTTTTTTTTTTGTTTTTTTCTGATTTGTACTTCATCTGGGAGCTAGACAATTAAAGGCCCAAATATTCAAAATGGTCCTTTATGATTTATGAAAATTAAAACCCAATTAACCTGTTTTATAAAGGTAGGGTTCAGGCTGAATTTTTCATTCTGTAATAAATAGTTGAAGTTTTACCTTTATTCTTTCAGGAAATACGATACAAGCAATGGAGGTTTGCCTACAAATGAATCTATCTGAAAATGTCCCCGTCTGCTATTTAGAGATTCCTTTGGGGAAAGCAATACCCAGTGGCTTTGGTTTTGACTACATAAAGGAAGTATGACTTAAAGAGTCCTCTGTGTTTCAAACTACTTGTGTTAGGCAGAGGGTTGATTAAAAAAAAGAACAAGATGAATTTGCTACTTCCTTTTAGAGTCTGATTTTACTCTCTCAGATAAAGTGACATTTCTCCCACAGGTTTCTGATTTCAGTGTTACTATAGCAGAACCTAGAAGTTAGAGTATCATTCAAGTATGTGGTCTCCTGCAGTACAAGAGGGGAATCACCTTTTCTTTTATTTAATAATGAAACCAGCTAGATATAAAAATGTGACTAAGTTCAAAAGAAACGTATGAAGTAAAAAATTCCCCAGTGAATATATTTTGACGGGGCAGAATATCGTGGTTTGGAAATTTCCAAACCAAGGAAATATATCATTCTTACTGATAGTATTTTTTTTAAACTTTACTGTTTTCTGAGATGAATTAGTTGATGATGAAAAAATTTGGATTAAATGATGTCATTTCAGGAATTCAATTCATTTTATAGAATTTCAGTCAATAAAGATTGTAAAAATAAGGACTTTTTTCCCCCCTTACGGGTCCTGGACACAGTAAATGCTTAATAAATACATATTAATAATCTAGCGTTAGTGCCTCCCCAGTCAAGATAACTCACCCTTTTCTTAAAAAGATGTGTTTAATTTGTATTGACGGTAAATTGTTTGCATACTATTCTACCCATAAATTTTATTCCTGTTCTTTAAAGGTAACATATGAGCACAGGTATTAAAATAAATATATTTAGTATACTGATTGGCTTTTCCCTCTTTTTAAATAAACATCTGAATTGCCTGATTAGAGCACTCAGAAAAGTGACAGTGTTTTTGATAATGTGTTATATATATTAAAAATTCTAATAGCTTTTTTATTGGTTCAAACTCTAAATGTATATTGAAATAAAACATGTCACACAGGTCCCCATTTGTTCTCAAACACAACCTTGTCATACAGATGTGATGAATTCCTAACACTGCAGAGAAATGAGAAGTTTGTCTAAATATACTGTAGAACCTTAGGTCATATTTAAAACCCAGTGATAGATGAAAAACATTAATGAACAGAATAAAGGAGAACATACCCCAGAATATATATATATATATTTTTCAATTGAAAAATAGTAGACTTTTAAGGACATTAAAATGACCAGAAGGTCATTCATCCATCAGTGTGGAGTCTACATCCACTTCCAGTGTTTTTGACTGGGCTAAGCAACCAACAACAGAATTGCTATGTGCCTGAGTGGGAATTAGTGGTCATAGACAACAAAGGCCAGTCTGTTAGCCAAGGCATTGGGCAGAGGGTGCTTTCATGAGGTAATAAGAAATGAAGTACTTCTTTCTGGAATCAGTGTAGCCACCAGCTGGTAAAGTGGCAGGGGAAGAATTATACACAATTATAAGCCTGACAATCATAGCGACAATGCTAACCAAGAATGTGACAAGCATAATGTTTAATGTGTAGCAATACAAGAAGGATTTATATGAATTATACATTAGAAATTAGATTGGGGTCTTTGATTAGGTAGTTCTGCAGATATACTTCCAGTCCTCCCCTCATGCCACAATACTTATGCCTACCACATGAAATATCCATTGTCACTATAAGCTTTACTATGTAGCATAGGTTCCAAGTTAAATGTTCTTAACAGAATTACTACACACTGAGTATCAAAATCATTCCTGCTCACAGTAGGTAAAAAATCTACCAAGAGGAAGCACTATGTAGACCAGATTAATGATAACACCAAGTATCTTTCATTATATGACGGGCAATTCTTCCTCTTGTAGTAAGAATGAAGCTGAAGGTGGCACTTTGGGAAATTTTTCCTTAGATTATGCTTTCCCGAAGGACAATTTTTTGGGGGGCAGGGTGGAGTGTGAGCATAAGATTTAAGAATATCTGGCCAGGTGTGGTGGCTCACGCCTGTAATCCCAGCATTTTGGAAGGCTGAGGTGGGTGGATCACAAGATCAGGAGTTCGAGACCAGCCTGACCAACATGGGAAAACCCCGTACTAAAAATACAAAAAAATTAGCTAGGCATGGTGGTGCGCGCCTGTAATCCCAGCTACTCCGAAGGCTAAGGCAGCAGAATCGCTTGAACCTGGGAGGCAGAAGGTTGCAGTGAGCCGAGAGTGTGCCACTGCACTCCAGCCTGGGCAATAGAGCGAGACTCCATCTCCAAAGAAAAAAAACGATTTCAGAATATCCTTCTATTCTTACCTTGTTGATTTGCCAGGAAAGACATTATCAAAACTATATATTCAGAGCATAATATGTCCTAAGTTTGTCATTAAAGTTCTGGTTTTCCTTCAAAAATTTTTTATTGTGGTGAAATATGTAATGTAATGTAAACATAATGTAAATTTAACATCTTAACCACCTTTTTTTTTTTTTTTTTTTTTTTTTTTTAAGACGGAGTCTCGCTTTGTCACCCAGGCTGGAGTGCGGTGGCGCGATCTCCGCTCACTGCAGGCTCCGCCTCCCGGGTTCACGCCATTCTCCTGCCTCAGCCGAGTAGCTGGGACTACAGGTGCCCGCCACCTCGCCCAGCTAATTTTTTGTATTTTTAGTAGAGACGGGGTTTCACCGTGTTAGCCAGGATGGTCTCGATCTCCTGACCTCGTGATCCGCCCGCCTCAGCCTCCCAAAGTGCTGGGATTACAGGCGTGAGCCACCGCGCCCGGCCATCGTAACCACTTTTAAGTGTACAGGTCAGCTATATTAAACAGTCATAATGTACAACCATCATTAGCATACATCTCCATAACTCTTTATCTTGTAAGGGTCTCGTTTTATGTCTAAATCATAGGTTATATTCTTCTACATTTATGTATATTTCTATATTGCTGCTTATTCTCAGCACCAACCATTTAATATTTGCAACCAAAGGAACTGCACACCATAAAGTTTTCTTTAAAAAAAGTTACAGTGGTCGAATTTCAGAACCAAAGTGATTGTGGGATAGCTCTAATTTTATTTACCCTGAAATATACAAATAATTTAAAACTACTAATTTGTTGTTACAAATCAAATGTACATCTATTTTTACTGAAAGTCATCTTATATTGATGTAGCAATACAAATTCTACGTCCAAAGCCATTTTAGTAGGTGAAATGTAATTATGTTGTTGAAAATTGAAGTGATTTAGTTTAGGTAACTTCCTCTAACTATTTTCCCACTAACATGTATGTGTACCAATCAAAAACATAATCATTAAGATGGAATAATGTTGATTCCTATTTGGAGCCATTTGCTAAAAGCAATTAGCATATATTTGCATATGTGGAAGCAGTATCTGGCTTTTCTATCAGAATTTCTTCTGATTCTCTATATTCTGCAGCTGCGGTTTGGGTTTATGTCATGGAAATAAGCAGTGATTAATGCAAGTATATAAAAATCAGGATTCTGTGAAACTTTGGATTTGTCGTAATTTTTAGAATAACAACGATTTCTTGGTTACCTTTTGAGGCAGGGTCAAAAGTTGAAAGTGGCTGCCCACATGATGCACCAACAACCTGCCTCTATGAAAACTCTGCATCTGTCAGAGTGTTTCCCTTCCCTGTTACTTAAGACAGAATTCCTTACCATTAGAGCCATCTCCATTGGGTGGGAGAGCCAAGGTGACAGGTAAGGTCTCTGGTAGGTTGTTCTTGAAATGCAGACAGTTATCTGGGGAAAGAGGGTTGGGTTGAAGTTGACAACATCGCCTTAGGTGTGTTTATTAGGTTAGTTAGTCATCTTTGAAAGCAGAGATCAAGGGCTGAGGAGAGAGGACCTGGGATAGGTAGATTTTAATGGGAATAAAGAGTAATTTAGAGGAAAGATAAGGATGTACCCCAAATAGTTTGATAGTTCAGTAGTTTTTTATTTATAATTTAAGCTCACACTTTTCACATCCAGCATAAAGCAGCAACAAATTAAGTATTTAGACTATCATCTGAGTTTTAGTTCTCTGAGTTTCAACCTCTCTACATGCTATAAAATGTCATATGAAGTGTTTAATTTCTCAGAGATTCTTCATGAAGACTTGCAGTGTTCTCTGACAAAAAGAAAATCCAAATGACTGCCTTTCTAAAGTGTATTTATTTGTGTAAAGTTTATCACATATTTTCTGTAGAATATGATTCTGTGTTACATCTCAGTAACTGACGTTAAAGATGAGTCAACTTCTCTGCTACCAGGGAATGAGATAAAGAGTATTATGTTTCCTCTTAACTTCACGTGAGTTCCATCATTAACAATGGATTGATGGTGGCCAACTGGGGTCACGTCTTCTGAAGCACACAAACTCATCTTTAAAGGTAAAAATGGATTGTTCTGTAGGAATAACTTACATCCTGAAATCTTGGTGAATGATAAGATTACCACTTTTCAGATCATTAACTTTAGATATAAGAAAAATTCCCTGAATAAGCCATTGCTGGGGGAAAAATTATAAACTTTTCATGTCATGATATTTTATTTACTTCCATAAAAACTTAACATCACTTCTTGATATTTCTAATTGAGAGTTCTTTATTGAAAAATAGCAACTATTTCTCAATTAAGAGCTCCTTATTGAAAATAGCAGTTTGCACACAAAATAGCATAACATTCTTTTCTGTATTTTGAGAATTAAGAAAATAAATGTTTTTAAAGATGTATGCCAATAGTGATATTTAACACATAAAGGTGTGATGGATTTTTGAAGTGTCTTAGAAGAAAGTCAGTGTGGATATTGCAGGGTCGCTGTGGAAATGTATATCAGTGACTGTTTAGTTGTAAATGCACAAAAGAGAAAGAATGTCAGCCTTAGAGGATTATCCTGCTTTTCCCAATTTTAGAACCAGGAAGCTTTTACTGAAATGACTTTGTGGAACTTATTTACAAGCTAAGTTACCTTCCCAATAGTTTTATTATGGACAGTAATTAGTGCTTTCACTTTTCTGATGAAGATGTATTTAAAAAAAAAAAAAAAAAAAAAGGTTAGGAATTTCCTCTTCCCCACCAGACTGATTATGTGGAATAAGCAGAAGCAGGATGACAGCCAGCTGGAGTCTGACTGCGGGGACTCACTTCCTCAACACCCTGACCTCTCACTGGCTCAGCGGCAGGTCTGAACTGTGCTGAAATGTTATAGAACAAATGTAAATAAAGCTGTGGGTAGGGAGGGGAGAGCTAGTGGGAGAGATGCGTTCTGTTGCTTTAAGTGATGGCCATTCTTTCTTATATCTTGTTTCCACAAAACGTTTTCCATTTGTCTAACAAACTTCTTAATATCATATTTCCATAAGATAATTTTAATACTTTTTAAAATTTATAATTCGATTTTGATGTCTTTTCTCCCCACTCCCAGGGAACAGAAAATAGGGTGGCTGTTATCTGCTCTGGAGTGTTTTGTCACCCTTCCATGAGGCCTCCTTTGTGCATTTGAGTTCACTGTTTATGCTTAACACTGAATTTCAACAAAATGCCTCATTTGGAACTTATTATGTGTTACCTGTTTGTTGTTTATATCCTTATGTCTGTATCATCAGACAAAATTGCTTTTCTATTTCTGTAAGCTACAGTTTATCTTTTTCTGCTTCCACACACCATAATGGCCCCAAGCAAGGAAGAATTTGTGTGCTAAAACTATTTAAGGCAAATGGAGCAAATTCTGTAAACAAAAGATTTGGTTTTGCCTTTTTAAAAATTCACTCTTACATGGATGGGATACCCTGTGTTATAAGGCAAAGACCATTTACATGTTACATTCCCATGGCATTTGACCCAATGCTTTAACAAACCAAATGAGGGTCATGATCGCTGCTCCACAAGATGTCACCATACACACTCTTAGGCACTAGATATACCTACTTCAAGTGTTCAAGTATGGACCTGTCTTCTTCACCTTCCTTATCTTGTACTCTCAGATAGCACACTCCTGGAGGCTGGTTTCTCCTCATCTCCTGATGGGACCCTGCTTCTCTATCTTCCCCAAGGTGGCTAGTCCTCTCCATCCTCTGTCAGAGCCCTTATCACACTGGATGGTAATTATTTCATGTGTCTCTTCTTAGTGCTGAGGTGTATGTGATGGCAGAGACTGAGTCTTCCCTCAGTGCTGGATATACAGCTGATAGATACTCACTAAATACTTTTGAATGAATGAGAGTTTCCAAAGGCATTTCTATCTGCACAGTGGGCTTTTATTTGGCACTGGAGCATTTCAGGACTTAACTGATATGCAGGTTCTTGGAGAATTTAGTAGAAGCTTACAAATGTGGGGATATATTAATAAGGTTTGTTGGCATTCCAGATTGGCAGTGGACCCTTTTTAGAAGATTCCAGGCTTGGATCTCAGTCTGTCAAGTATAAAGTAAAGCTGGAGAATACTGGTAGAAATCATCGTCTGGACTTGTGGGTAAAAATTAAGTTTCATCCCGGATTTTAAAAACCACTCTTGGATGCTATAATCATGTGTTTTCATTGCATAGAACCATGTCCTTGTTCTTAGGAGATCCATGCTGAAACATCTAGAAGTTAGATGCCAGGTTTGCATATAGATATATATAGAGAGATGGGTAGGGACACAGAAAGATAAGTCATTGTGGCAAATATTAACAATTAGCAAATCTAATTGAAAAGTAGGAGTGTTCATTGTTCTGTTGTTTTCAGCTTGCCCGGGTTCCATTCCATACCCCACCAGTGTTACTAGCTGTGTGGTATTTGGCAAGTTAATAAACCTCTTTAAGTCTTAGTTGTTTCCCTGAAAATGGAGATAAAGGTATAACCTACTCAGAAAGTCTTGTGAAGATGAAGTGACAATGCAAAACATTTAGTTGGGTGCCAGCCTCATAATCAGGGTTCAGTGAATGATAGCCGTGATACTCATGACATCAGTCATCAGTGCTTAGTGAGTACTTTATAAGTACCCTACATCTATCACATGTTACACTTGCTATTTTAAAAGTACAAGCCCAGATACATTTACCACTGTATAATTGAACCGTTATATAAATTAGAGGTTATCTACAAGCAGGTAAAAGCCAAGTTAAAATAATTCTTTGGTTTATCCTAATCTTTAAGTTGTAAAGTAACTGCTAAAAGATACACCAAAATGTTTTCTTGGAAATAATTTTCAGAAGTATTTTAGTAGTTTTCGTTTGGTTAAGGAGAAGGATATGCATTCTGAAACAAAAATTCTAAAAACCAGACAACTTTTTACCGTGTCAGTGTGGTCTCTGAAAATTCGTGACACAGTAAAATGTCTTTAAAATGTCTTTACTTTCTCAGACTGCATTTGTATCTCACCTTCCAAATTGATTTCTTATAATACACAAGATCATCCACTGAAACAAAATAATAGCAAACACACAGGGCTCCCTCTGTGCCAAGCACCTAAGTGTTTGATGTCTACTAACTCAGTTATTCCTCCTCACAACCTTAGGAATGAGTCGTCACACCCTCCCCATTGAAACATGGGGGCCTTGAGGCACAGGCAGGTGAAGTAACTTGCACAAGGTTAATCAGTGGCTAAGGATAATGCAGCTGGGTTGCCCACCTGGGCAATCTGACACCTGTTTCCCATGCTTGGAACCGTTATTTGTGTGAGCATACAAAGGACCAGAGCATTTTGTTAAGACAGCCAGGAACTTATAATTTGTGTAGAGCACTCTCGTTTATGGAGAACTGGCATAAATGTCATTGTAGGGCATTGTTTCACCTTATCCAAACATCAGCCTCACAATTTCATTAAATCACCTATTTGATATTCTTCATTAATCTTTCCTTCTGCCAGTGCCTTAACTATCTACTGATACAAGGTAGCAATATCTGTGCTAATCTGGCCTAACAATTAGCACAGATATTAGTGATCTGTGCTAATTGATTAATATCTCCGCTAATTGTTTCTCAGAATTAGCACAGATATTCACAATCTGTTTTAAACTACAGCAACTTAAGCTACGTTAAGCCTCACTTTCTGGTGAGTGTGTCACTGTGTGTAAGGGTGGTGATTTTAGGAATAACATGTTCTTCCACATTGCTGAGAGCCGTGGACTTTGAGTGAGGATGCTGAACTGCTCAGACATATGATGTGCTTATTTGAGGACAGATGTGCTTTTGCGCTGGTTTTGCTTAAGGCTCTGAATATTATAAGACCAAAGACATTGATTGATGGACAGAACTTAAGTGTTTCAGGGCAGATGAGAATTACACAGCAGTGATCATATTAAAAGCATTGCATTTCCTTAAGCGTCTGAGATAAGAAAAAGTTTTTCATATATATATATATGAAACTCATATATGAAAGTTGTAGCTACTGAGAGGTGGGATAAAAAGAGGCTTTTAAAATTGTAATATTTTTCCTTGAAAAGTAGTGTTTCACAATTGTGTTATTCTATCTAATTTAAGGAAACATGTAACAGTTTTGAGTCCAGTAAGATCAGTGAAAGACAAAAATACATTCTATAGTGAATTATGATGGTACTTACTTTGACTTTCTTTGGACATAGAGGACCTAAATTTACTAAGACCAGCTGTGTCTCAGGAGGTATATGAAAGTGAACTTGGTAGTTACACTGGAATCACAGAATTTCATCAGTGTAAAGGATTTTAGAAATGATTCAGTCCCGGCCACCCATCAGCCACCCATCTTAGAGATGAGAAAAATGAGGCACAGAAATCTGCAGAGTTGATACTAGAAACAAACCACGGTTCTTAGGCTGGTGTTCCTTCCCCAATATTAGGCTTCTGCAGAGTGGCAGCCTCATATCAAAACAATAAGGCTATTAAAATCAATAGCTTCAGCTAAGCAGTAGCCAATGACTAACAAAAATGGAGACACCAACTAGTTAAGGATAGAGATGCTCAGTCCAAGTGAAGGCCAAGAGTCTACATCCCACTTTCCTCTATTCAAGCTATTTATGCCTACTACGTTTAGAATACTGATTATGAAAGTGGACCCCCAAAGAGGGTCATGACTGAGGTTCAAGGAAGCCTCTAGCCTGCTGACGCCAAATGCAAAATGGTGTGTGAGGATGCACATTAAAAAAAATTTTCCGGGAAGAGGATATAAAATTTCCGTTAGATTCTCAAGGAGGTAGGAATAAAGGATTTTAATAACTGTTACTGTAAAATGAAAGAATTCCTTTAAGTTGAATGGCACATCTTAGTCATGACATGAAAAGCTGATAAATAAAAAAACTTTTCAAAAGTTAAAACCTAGGGCTTTTTGGGGTAGATTTTTTGATTTATAGAAGACTGTTAAGATGAGGTATTGAAAGATGAAGGTTACAGATTTTCCATGTTGGCACATGGAAAGTAAAGAATGGCAAAATTTGTAGCACATTCGAATTAGTGCAAGTATTTATGTTACCAAAATTGAAATGCTATCAAATTGCATAGTAACATCCCGATAGCCTTTCCTCTAACTTTTTGGGTTTGTAAGGGTAGGGTGGTGCCTATCCTGCTCACTTTTGTCTCTCTAGCATCGCGTCCAGCACAGGCAGACTGTGATGACTTTTTTTTTGGTAAAGACCAGTGAATTACACTTTTTACACATGATTAGGTTAAAACAAGAGTAGATATTTGTGCAAACACCATTCTTCCCCCTTGAAGTGGTTGTAGGTCTCAGACAGTGCTAATTTTTCTCTTTCTTAATGTGTGTGGTTAGGAAGCTGGGTCCTGTGGCCAGAGTGAGCTGACCCGCTATGTGAGGAAACTTGCTTGTCACAGCCTAATAAGGAGTAGTCCTTGCGGCAGAAGTAATTAGTAAATGTGCTTTGGTCATTTGACAGAAATCAGGGAGGCAGCAAGGAGTCATGGAAATGAGCCCAAACTGAGAGTCAAAAACCTGTGGTCTGCCGACACCCCCATCCCACATCCGTACCTAAAAGCAGGCTGTGCACTAGGGACTTAGTGACCTTACTAGAAAAAACTCAAATTATCTGAGCCACAAGTCCTCATGGGCAAAATGTGGATACCACCACCTAACCCTGCCAATTTCCTATCATTGTGACTATCAAATTAAACCACAGGCAGGAAGTTGCCTTGAAAACTTTTTATAGCGTATATTACTGTTCACATAGATAAGCAATTAACTTTACATATACCCGTTTTTAAAAGATCAGTCCTGTGATTAAAAGTTTGGCTGCCCTAATTCACTTCGATTATACATTATGTTAAAGCCATATAAAAGAGGCACTACTTCTTCAGAGAGATGAATGGAGATTACAAGCAGTAATTTTGGCTTTGGAATATACACATAATGTCCACTTGACCTCATCCGTTTGACACAAAATGTAAACTAAATTATGAGCATCATTAGATACCTTGGCCTTTTCAAATCACACAGGGTCCTGGATCTGCTGTGTGATGCTGGAGAAGTAACTTCACTTCTCTGGGCCCCAGCTCCTTAATTTTTAACATACTTTGGATTCTTATATCTTTGTCAGCTGTCAGCTTCAGTATTTTCAGGTAAACTTCTATCCATAGTCATCTCAATATACCTGCTTTAGATGATACAAACTTCAAAAGATCCAGCTCTCCCTGGTAAAACGTGGAGGACAGACACCAAGGGGGTTTTGTGAGAGTAAAGGCAACTGCTCAGCAAAAACGCACCGTGGCACAACAGGAGCGAATAAATACAGACGCTGATTGAGCGTTTGCTCCATCTTCACTTCTGTTAAATGAAGACATTGATATCTAAAATGCTATGAGTCTAACTTTGTAAAATTAAAATAGATTTGCAGTTATTTTTCAAAATAGAAAATATACAAGTTTTGAAGGCAGTCTCTTTTTCCACACTGCCCCTGTAGAGTGTTTTACACACTTCTCTGGCTGCTTCAACAGGGGAAGTTGGTCCAGGGCCATTATACAGGTACCTCCCCAACCATCCAAGGAAACTTTGCAAAGAAGCTCAAGTGTTAGGTTTCCAACACCCCTCCTTCCGCCTGCCTCTGCCCGCGGGAATCCATCCAGCGCAATCTCTGGTCCCGGGCGAGGCGACACCTCTGAGTCCCCAGGGGGCACCCGCAGACGCGCGCGGGACCGAGCCGGGCTCCACGGCCACGTGCGCGCTGCCCCCGCCTTGCCCCGCCAGTCCACCCGGCGGTGACCCTCACACTGAGGTCCCCCGGCGTCCCTGCCACGTTGAAGAGAGGAAAGGCGGGCGGGAGCGCGAGACTGAAGTCGGCGTACCTGCAGTGCCAGGAGCGTCTCCTTGGTTCCCCGCGCTTGCTCTGTGGGCGGCTTGGGGCTCCGCGATCGACTCCCTTCCCAAGGCTGCAGGCGGTTCTGGGCCCGGGCTCGGCTGCGCACAGGAAGCCCGCGCCTGCGAACGTGCGACCCTTTTATAACTCACTTGTGACTCATAACCGACCAGGCGCCTTTTCTGCAAACCCCCCCCGCTTCTCCCCCCTCCTGCCTGTTCTTGGAACCTACGGCTTGAAAAACTTTTTTCTTTTTAAAGGAAAAGTCGAAAAAGCCCAGCGCCCGGGGAGTTGGTGTTTTCCCCTTTCCCTTTCTCGTGGGTCATTGCGTGTGTGTATTTTTTTCTCTCGACACACGCCGTGTACTTTCCTGCACCCGCGCCGCAAGGCTCAGCCTCCAACCTTTGTTCTTAAAGAAAAGGAAACGCCTTCAAGTGACGGCCTAGACGTCGCCCGAACTTTCAGTCGGCTGGAGGGGGAAGTGGCGACTTCTTGCAACTGGATGGCAGGAGTGTCTCTACTCTCTCCATGCAGGGAGCCCGAGAGGAGCAAGTGGGAGATTTTCCTCCTCGACCGAATCAGCTGGAGCCAAGCAGGTCCCTAAGAGAGGAAGAAATGGTCTTCAGGCCATCCTGTATTTCATCCCTACCTCATCACCCTTCAAGAGCCCGCGTTTGGTTTGGAATATGTAACTGGGCTTTGAGAACGTTTGTACTGTGTCTGGTACCCGCATTTATACTTGGGATGTCAAGATACAGGACCTGAAACTTTAAAAATTTTAACCTTACCAACATTCTCCCCTTGCCCTCCACTGCCATCTCCAGGACATATTCCTGGAGCACATGGGCCTTCAGTCGTTTTAATTTTTCCTCTCTCTTTTCTCCGGGACCCTGCCACAAGGGGAACATTTTCCTGGAGCAGCCATTTGATTTTGGGGGATGGAAAGAAACAAATAGATGTAAAGCCTGGCAAGTTTATCCTGCAAGCCTAGTCGAGTAACTCATTCATGAGTATCAGTTCAATAAACGTTTAGACCTTGAAGAAGAAGGAAACATGAGCAAGAAACGGAGGACAGGAATAGATCTAGCCTCATCATCATGTGACTGGGGCCTTTTTGTAAGAAAGACGGGGCCACTGCTGGATTGCATTGCAAGTATCCAGTACTTGGACCTCCCTGTCAAGGGCACACGACATTTTAGAATAGTTTGTATTAAACTGATGTCAGTTTCTAGGACCCCTGAATACATGTCAGAGCTGGAAATCCCGTAGTACTTAATTTACAGATGGCTCAGGTTGGTTAAGGAACTTGGGAGCATTTTAAAATCCTCTATTCTTAAGATACATACTTTTTCTCTTCCTTATAATTCAGACAAGAATAATCATGATGATAACAACTAACACTTATAAAGCATTTGCCATGTGCCAGATCCTGCCCAAACACTCCTTATATGCATTAACTCTTTCAGTCCTCACTATGATCATATGAGGGAGAAGCATTATAATTTCTGTTTCCAGATGAGGAAACTGAGCACAGAGAGATTAAACATGTTACCTTAGGTCCTAGTAAGTAGTCAAGCAGAGATTCAAACTCAGTTCCAACCCTGGAGGGCTGGCTCCATAGTCCAGTCTCCCTGCTTTCCAGATCCATGTGACATCGAGGAGCTGGGGAAGTTGTGCAGTGGGGCATGTGACAAGGATGCATGGTCAGAAAGCCCTGCAAGGCCTTTCTGAATTTCCCATTTCTCATTCTAGATTGAACTGTATGAAATCGCCCATAGGCAATTCTAGGATGACCTTTCATCCCTAGAATGACAAGTTTGTATAACTCACTTTAATAGGAGCAGGAAATTGCTCAATCCTCCCTTCCCCCAGTGATGGAAGTAATTTCAGGTCATGTGCAAACCTCCCCATTTTAGGTCCCAGTTTGAGACATCCAGAATAGTGGATGGAGAAATGGGTTTTAGGAGTCAAATACACCTGCATTTTACACTAATTCTAGCTGTGGAATCTGAAGGTTAACCTTTCTGTGTCTCAGCTTCCTATAAATGACAATGATGTTGTCTCCCATTAGGGATTACTGTAGACTGAATCATGTTCTCCTCAACTTCATATGTTGAAGCCCTAACCCCCAATGTTATCCCCATTTGGAGATAGGGCCTGTGAGGAGGTGATAAAGGTTAAATGAGGTCAAAAGGGTGGATCTCTAATCCCATAGAGCTAGTGCCCTTATGAGAAGAGGAAGAGACACCAGAATTCCCTTTCTGTCAGAGATCAGTCAAAGCAGAGGTCATGTGAGCACACAATGGGATGGTGGTTTCCTGTAAGCCAGGAAGAGAGTCCTCACCAGAAACCAAACCCCGCAGGACCTTGATCTGGAACTTTCTAGCCTCCAGATTGTGAGAAAATAAATTGTTGTTGTATCAGCCACCCAGTCTATGGTATTTTCTTATGGCAGCCCTAGCAGACTAAGAGGGATATGATGATTAAATAAGGTGATGGAAAAAAAATACCTGCTCCAGGCTGGGTGCAGTGGCTCACGCCCGTAATCCCAGCACTTTGGGAGGCCAAGGCATGTGGATCACGAGGTCAGGAGATCGAGACCATCCTGACTAACAGTGAAACCCTGTCTCTACTAAAAATACATAAAAAAAAAAAATTAGCCAGACGTGGTGGCAGGTGCCTGTAGTCCCAGCTACTCAGGAGGCTGAGGCAGGAGAATGGCGTGAACCTGGGAGGTGGAGCTTGCAGTGAGCCAAGATCGCACCACTGCATTCCAGCCTGGGCAACAGAGAGAGACTCTGTTTCAAAAAAAAAAAAAAAAAAAAAAAGGACCTGCTCCAAATGGATAGCTTGAGAAAGTAAGGACTGGCCACCTGCCCACCTGCTGGGACAAGTATTATCCCATGGATGTTGTTGTGGGCTGAATTGTGTCCCCCTTCCCCCACCTCCCAAATTCATATATTGATGTCCTAACACCCAATACTTCAGATGAGATCGGGTGTGTATGGGGTGGTATGGCCATAGACCACCCAGTACTTCAGAATATAACCTTATGTGGAAACAGGGCCTTTGTGGATGTAATTAGTCAAGATGAGGTCATATTAAAATAGGGTTGGCTCCTAATCCAATATGACTGGTGTTCTTAGAAAAAGAACATGATGTGTAGAGAAAGAAACACATATAGAAGGAAGACAGGGTGAAGAAACATTGGGAAAAGATGGCCATCTACAAGCCAAGGACAGGGGCTTGGAACAGATCCTTCCCTCACAGCTCTGAGAAGGAATCAATCCTATTGACATCTTGATCTTGGACTTCAGCTCACAGAACTGAAAGGCAATAACTTTCTGTTGTTTAAACTACCCAGTTTGCGGTACTCTGTCACAGCAGCCCTCGCAAAGTAATATGGATGTGTCTCCAGGGCTGATGGGGCTGTGTTCTCATCCCTCATCTTACCCTCCAGAGACTGAGCAGCTCACATCAATGACCTTCCAGATAAGAGTGGCACTTGTTGATATTACTTAATATCAATAATGATGAATAGATTGTGACAACTGGCACAGCTACAAATCAATGATGAAGTCTTGCTAAAAACATCATAGTTTCCTGAAATTCTACAGAAACCAACAATAACCACACGGAATGATTAGGAACCAGCCTCCAATCTCTCTCCTTAAAAAAAAATAAGTGGTAGAAAAAAATAAAAATAGTTTCTGGAGGTTTAGTACTCAACGATCTTGAAGCTCAGCCCTTCGGAAGAATGTAAGACAGAGATGGTGAGTGAAGAAATAGACCCACATTTCAGGCTTGACCAGCTTATTTATTGTGGCGCAAGGTTTCAGTTCACTGTTTACCCTGTTGTACAATAACATGGAGATAATTAATTATTTTGTAAACTTGTGGTTGCTCTCCATCCCTCAGGATGAAACGAGCTGAGTTGGCTTCCTTTGGACCCCATCAGTGGCGCAACCATAATTAGTGCCTGAGGCTAAAAAAAATGTAGCCTTCATAAGATGTTCAGACTTCATAAAGAGTGTTTGTTTTTATTTTTCACAGAGAAAACATCAGAGAGTTTTTTCTGTCATAATTTAATTTTTATTCCTTTCACTGTTTATAACATTTGGAAGCCCAATTCTGGTCTATGTTGTTTTCACCCACGTTTCCTCTGTAAATGGGTTGCTGCTTTGGCGTATTATGTGATACTCTTTTTTTTTCTTTTTTTCTTTTTTTTTTTTTTTTTGAGACGGAGTCTTGCTCTCACCCAGGCTGGAGTGCAGTGGCCCCATCTCCACTCACTGCAAGCTCCGCCGCCTCGCGGGTTCATGCCATTCTCCTGCCTCAGCCTCCCGAGAAGCTGGACTACAGGTGCCCACCACCTCGCCTGGCTAATTTTTTTGTATTTTTAGTAGAGACGGGATTTCACTGTGTTCGCCAGGATGGTCTCGATCTCCTGACCTCGTGATCCGCCTGCCTCGGCCTCCCAAAGTGCTGGGATTACAGTTGTGAGCCACCGCGCCCGGCCTATGTGATACTCTTAAATGCTGGGATGCCTTTCCCTTCAGAGGGTAAAGGAGCGGCTTTTTTTTTCTCTCTCTCTCCATCAAATAGGTGAAATTTACAAATTACAGAGAATTAACCTCTCAACTTTATCTTTCCCATTCACCCCTCCAGAAGGCACAGTGGAATAAAGTCAAACCTCTGCAAAGGAGACCAGTGTTTTCTGCAGGCTCTTTTTAGCTATGGTCTAATTGTTTAATCATTTGTGCCCATCAAATGCCTCTTAAGAATTCTTTTGTCTGTACATACACTGCCTTACATAGATAACTTTTTTCATAAAATTTAAAGTTTTCGATAATGCAGAGGTTTTGCTCTTGGCTCATTTCTTCATGTGAACATTTTGGGAAGCCAGGTTTTCACAGTCTTTTGGAAATTTTCGTATAATGGAGGAAAAGTTAGATTCTGGGGAAAGGACCAAATTCTCAAAATATTTTGGTTCATGAACAACCTTGGAAGGTAACTA